TTTGAAACAAGTTTCTTATTTTTTCACCACATAAAATGTATGCTTGGTTATCAAGTCTTTATTGCTCACTAAGGAACTCACAGGAAAAAAATCGATACTTTCAAAGGAAATTGTCAAGCCTGAAAGCAGGATTTTAAAAACTTAAAATGCCAACATATTGATCGTTCTTAACCTAGACAAAAAACTGAAGCTGGTATGTGTTGCTTGAGGAGCTTTGTTTTATAACACCATAGTGCATTACAAATGCACTGTGTGTAAGTGACAGTTCTTGGGCTTTAAGTGATACTACCTACCTTTTATTTCATTTCTCCATCATGGGCTGACACAATCTTTTATTAAGGTGAGACTACTACAATCAGATAAACTTATATCTTGGCCATATAATTTTCTGCTGCTCCAAAGTATGTCACCAAAGGAAGCAACATAGGACAAGGTTAATACTGTGTTTACTAGATAGCAACTAGAGCATTATGAATGCTCAATTAACGTTTAGACTACATTAGCGTACTTTGTGGCAAATGTATGTTATTGGAAAACATAATACACACTATTCAGAAGCAGTTATTTTTCACTAAAGAAAAATGTGTTGGCAACTGCTCCGTTTCCATGGATTTATGATTCTAATAAGTCCTGAAAATAAAACCAAATCCTTGCCAAAATCTCACTTATGCTTTATATCAGTAACATGCCCTTTATCCCTGCTTACGCATTTGAGAAACAGAAAAACAACACAATTTATTAAAAATCCACTAATTAGAACCCAAAAGAACTGATTTTAGGGAGGGGAAGATGTAGGAGCTGACACCTAACCTACTTTATTTTATGAAAAAAAGAAAATTGCACAAAATTATGTGAAACTGAAAAAAGAAGCAAACATTTTCTAGAATATGTTTGAAGCTGTACAGTTCAAATTTAAACCATTTTTTAAAACATCTAATGGCATTAAATCACTTTAGGAGAACTCAATCAGCAAGAAAGATACACTTCTGTCCAATATGTTCTACTCACAGAAAGAGGTATATTGAACATTTAATTCTTAAATTCTGGTGCCTTCAATACAAGGAGGAACCAGGAGATTCAAATCCTAGTGAACTAAAAAATCAAATCAACAGGCCAGGTGCTATGGTTCATGCCTGTAATCCCAGCACTTTGGGAGGCCAAGGTGGGTGGATCACCTGAGGTCAGGAGTTTGAGACCAGCCTGCCCAACATGGTGAAACCTCGCTTCTACTAAAAATAGAAAAATGAGCCAGATGTGGTGGCACACGCCTGTAGTCCTAGCTACTCGGGAGGCTGAGGCAGGAGAATTGCTTGAACCCTGGAGGTGGAGGTTGCAGTGACCCGAGACCATGCCACTGCACTCCAGCCTGGGTGAGAACACAAGGCTGTCTCAAAAAGAAAAACTCAACAACTTGAACTGCATTCCTTAAATAACTGAGTCTTAGCCTTAGCTGCATGTTAGCATGATCTAGGCACCAAATTCTCAATGTTCTGGTCCTACTCCAGACCAATTAAATCAAAATTACTGCTATTTAAAGAAACAGAAACAAAAACTCCACAGGTGATTCAGTGTGCTGCCCAGATTGCTATCCACCACATGGGATACTATGGTTATTTTAAGTTTTAAACCAGATTAGTTTAAGTCACAAACTAAATCTCTACTGCTGGAGAAAAGCATTTTTGCTAAGTGAACTTTAACTTTACCAGAGTACTAGAAAAAGAATGAAATCCAAATGCCTATTTAATATTATATCTGATGGTCTTTCAATTCTGGGGTGGCCATGTAATCTAGTTCTTGGCATTGAAATAGGAGTCCCCGCTGGGTTTTTTTCCTTCTGGGATAAAAGGACAGAGACCCACTGGGAAGGAGAAGTGGATTTCATTTCTTTCTTCACTTTCACTAGCCCTCAACTCTTAGATAAATACAGAAACTGAGGAGTACATCTTCCAATCAAAAAGCAGTAAGTGGGAGAATAAACAGTCAACATGCTGAGGATGGCGGTAGAACAGAGACTGGAAGAGCTTGGGTCTTTGCTGACATTGCTGTATCGTTAAACCACAGCAACCAACTACCTTCTGAATGTTTATGTTAAGAAAATGATTGCTTAAGCTACCATTAGCTGAACTTTCCATCATTTGAAGTCAAACATATTCCTTTTTTTTTTTTTTTTTAATTTTTTTAAGATAGAGTCTTGCTCTGTCACTCAGGCTGGAGTACAGCAGCCCAATCTCTGCTCACTGCACCTCCGCCTCCCCAGTTCAAGCAATTCTCCGTGTTTCAGCCTCTGGAGTAGCAGAGAGTAAAGGCATGCATCATCACACCCAGCTAATTTTTGCATTTTTAGTAGAGATGAGGTTTTGCCACGTTAGCCAGTCTGGCCTTGAATTCCTGGCCTCAAGTGATCTGCCTCCCTTGGCCTCTCAACGTGCTGGGATTACAGGCATGAGATACAGTGCCCAGCCCTAAAGTATTTCAAAGGGATACACTTTGGTTCACTCTTAAGCTACGAATCACTCAACATTTACTATTGGCGAAGAACTTTAAGATATTATCACTTTTAAGCCTCACAGCAACTCTAAAAACAAGTATTCTCATTTCCATTTTACATATGCAGAAAGTGAGGCCCATACAACTATCTTGTCCATGGCCATATAGAAATTTAGATTTTAAGCCAGGTTCCTTTGATTCTAATCTCAATGCTCTTCATTGCATTGCTTTGGTACTGTTATTAACCTCTTGGACGTGTGCAAGTCTAGTTGCTGTGATTAAATTGTGTATCATGCAAGAAGAGTCTTAGGCTTCAAGTACACCTGGTGGTCTACATTACATCATTAAATACTTGAAGAATTGATGAGCTTACTTGACAAAAAACAAAATTACAGGATGAACATTTTTTGTGCTGTTCTGCAAAACCACAAGATACTTTCAAGTCACTCAAAAAAACAGTCCAAATCAATCCACTTTCACAGAAGACTTGATAAAAATATTATTAATAATAATTGAGGGCTTTGGTATGTGGTAACATTTTTTTTTTCTCCATGGTAAAAAAGCAAATTAATAGTAGGGTTTTAGCGTAGATGTTTAAGGCAACTACATGGACATATCTTCAAGGATATGGGGGGCTGTTATCTGTCAAGTTGAAACATAAATGTATCCCTTCCCAGGGTTGTATGATAGGTTGTGTTTTGTGATTTCTTTTTCTTTTTGGCCAACATTTACTTCTCTGGTGCTTTCAGGTGTCTAATATCCCCACTACTGTACTATTTGCCCAAAAGGCACTGCTGACGGGCCTCCTCCAATTCCTGTTCCATATTTTCTTAGCATTTACCGAATTATTGAAAGGAGTACAGAGGCAGCCACGTTGATTTTAGAGTCAGGCTCACCTCACCGAACCATAGCTACTATGTTTTGCCTTTCTCTGTAAAATGAGGAAAGACCTACTTCAAAACTGTTCTTATGAGACTTAAATGAGCTGAAATATAAACAAACTAGTAACAGTTAAGGTAGACAAGAACTTATCAAGTAGCTATGTGCTGCATAGTGAGGTAAGTACCTGGGAAGTAATGATGGCCCCTGGTATCAAGAAGCATAGAGTCTAGTAAATTACCAGTTTCAACACTAACTCCTTAGTGGGCAGAAAACGGAGTAAGTTGGAAGATAGGAAAATCTCAAGTCTGGCACCTGGGACCAAGTGCCAGTTCCTCAACTTTCCAGATGTGGTGGGTTGAATAGTCTCCAAAAGATATGTCAACGTCCTAACTCCGAGAACGTGTGAAAGTGGATATAGGGCCTTTGGAGATGTGATTAAGTTAAGGACTTCCGGATGAATCTGATGATCTTGGATTATCTCCGTGGACTCTAAATTACAATATTCAGTGTCCTAAAAACACGAAGAGAGTTGACGCAGGCACAGAAGTCCATCAGAAGACAGGCAGAGATTGGAGTCATGCAAAAACAAGCCACGGGCCGCCTGAACCATCAGAAGCCGAAGAAGCATAGAGCCTTCAAAAGGTGCAGGCTCTGCCAACAGCTTGATTTTGGATTTCTCGCTTCTAGAACTGTTAGAGAATAAAATTTTGTTGTTTGACACGACCAAGGTTGTGGTGTCAGTTTCTTCATCTAGAAAACGTGGCATATATCCTAACCACAATCTTATTTCCTGAGGTAGAATATGGAATAACAGCACTATACAGGCACGAGTAGACATTAAAATGGCAAACATTTATGGAGAGCGTTCCATACTAAGTGCTTTGCTCGTATAACTTAATTGTTTCTGTTTTATTGATCGGGAAACCAAGGCTCGGAAAAATTTAGTAATTTTCCCAGAGCCACACAGCAAGTGAAAAAAACGGGATGACAGTTCAAATAGACTCACAAGATACCCCTTTTATCCTCCATGCTGGAGTATTCAGAAATTACGCAAATTAACACACTTTAAAAACTTCAGCTACTTCAATATTAGTTCAGACTACGGGATTAACTGTCCTTTATTAACTGCGCCAGCGAAGTCTCTCCTTCAGCTGCCGAAGTTCGCCTTCGCAAAAGCTCTCCCTTTCTTTCCAGCACGGAAACGACAGGGTTAATGACGTCATTTCCCGTAGCCTTGGTCTCATCCTCTGCCCGACGGATCCTTTTAAGGGCCAAAACCCTCACGGCTCAAGAGCTGGCTTAACAGCAGCGGACCAATGGAAACTCCGAATTTTTGTATTTTTCTGGGAAGCTCCACCTATTAGTCACTGATCTTCTGGGGAAGAAGAAAAAAAGCGGCCCGAGGGCGGAGCAAAGCAAGGAAGCGGAAGCGAAGCGGTGATCGGTATCCGGCGCGCGAGCTGCTTCTGCCCCACGTGTGCGGTGAGTTTGGCCGGCTCAGCGGTCCCTCCTGGGAGGGGTTCGCATCCTGCCGGGCGCTGGAGTCGGGAAGGTCTCTCCGGGCTGTTTTCCACTGGGCAATCTTCTGTGACCTCTTTCTGGGTCAGGAGTTCGGGACTGACAGGAGCCTGGCAAGGAGGGCGGGGCTCCGATCTCTCCCCCAGCAGGTTGCCCTAGTGCTGGCTTAGATTGAACTAGCTTCACTCTAGAATCCCAGCCCGTGCTCGGTCTGATCAGCCTGTGCTGTTTCACAAACACCTACTCCAAGCTAGGTGCTGAGTTTACAGTCTGAATGAACAGTTGCAGGTTGTAAGTGCTTGGAAGGAAACGAACTGGGTGCTGATTTGGGAGATAGTGAAGTCTAAAGAAGTGATCTTTAAGCGGAAATCTGAAGTATGGAGAGAGGCAACCCGGAGATCTGGAAGCCCAGGGAGTATTTCAAGCAGAGGCAGTAATGGGCTAAGTCCCTGAGGTGGGAGCTAGGAAGAAGTACAGTGAAAGTTAGAGTACAAAATAAAGTTAGAGGGATAGAGTGGAACTAGGTTCTGTAGGGCCTTGAGGGTCATGATGGGGATTTTTTTTTTCTATACAGTAGCAAAACATTTCTGTTCCGTTACCATGTGTAGAAAACATTGAAGGCTTATAAACAAGTTAGAATCATGAATAGGCCCTGGTTCTCTTTAGAAAATGTGTTTAATTTGGAAGCTCAAGAGATTGCATTGTATTAATAAATGTATTTAATTTGGAATTTCAAGAGATTATATTATTTGTATTAGGGAGTGACTTAAGGGGGATTTAAGAGAACTTATGGTTCAGTGTGGCAAACAAGGGAGAGGAAAATGTCAAGGGTAACTCTTAGGTTTCTTACTTGAGCAGTGAAGTAGACGATGTGCCATTGGCTGAGATGAGGGACCATAGGGGAGGGGAAAATAGTATGTTGTTTGTGGGTGGTTTGCAGTAGAAATATAGAGAATGATGTTTTGTACATATTAAGTGTAAGGTGCCTGTTAGACACATAATTAGAGGTGTCAGATAAGCAGTTATACACAGATTTGGAGCCCAAGGAGAAATTCATAATGGAGACACGATTTGGGAGTACTAAGCATAAAAAGCCAGGAGATTGGATGAGACCACCCAGGGAGAAGTGTGGAGAGAGAAGGGAAGTTCACCAGGACAAAGATTTGAGGAATGCTGACATTTTAGATGTTGGTCTATAAGAAAATGTCGTTTGAACTGAATTTGAGAAAAACGGGTAGGAATTGTGTTGGCAGAGAGAATGGCTTTAAACTTCACTATGCTGATAAAGGATAATGAGAAAGATCGGCTCCTCTGTCGTGTGGATGAGTGAGGTGAAATAGGTCCACATTTTGAATGACTGAATGCCTGAGTTGGAACTTTTTCCTGAAGGCAGTGGGAAAGCTTTGAAGCTATCGGAGCATGGAAATGACGTGAAATAGGTTTGCTAGTGGAAGATTAATCAGGCCACAGAAAGTGGCTCAAGATAGATTAGATCTAAAGAAAACAGTCTGAGCAAGAGGTAACCAGAGCCCGAATGGGGTAATAGAAGGAAAGGACAAAGGGGCCAATTCTGAGAGACACTATGGAATGTGATGACTGGTTATGAATTGCATTTGCGGAGTGCAAGAAGCAAATCCTGAAAAGTTACATATTGTAGAATTCCATGTATATGAATGACATTCTGGAAAAGGCAAAACAGGAATGAAAACCTGATTGGTGGCAGTCAGGGAAGAAGTTGATTACAAAGGAGCAGCACCAAGGGATTTTTTAGAGGGATAGGACTTCTCTGTAAGATACTGTGGTAGTGGATACATGACTCTTAGCTGTTTGTTGAAGCCCATAGAATTATACACCAGGAAGAGTGAAGTTGACTATATGCCCATTTAACAAACCTGCCAGCATTTCTGAGGCTGGAATGCAGACTGTGACAATCAGTTAAGCTATATTATAAACATACAACGTCACTAAAGAGAATGAGGGAGTGAAGGGGTGATCTAAGTAGCTTTTTTTTTTTTGAAACGAAGTCTCACTATGTCATCCAGGCTGGAATGCAGTGGTGCAATTTCAGCTCGCTGCAGCCTCCTGGGTTCAAGTGATTCTCTTGCCTCATCCTCCTGAGTAGCAGGATTGCATGTGTGCCCGACCATGCCCAGCTAATTTATGTATTTTTTGTAGAGACAGGGTTTAGCCAGGCTGGTCTTGTACTCCTGACCTCAGGTAACTCACCCGCTTAACCCTCCCAGAGTGCTGGGATTACAGGCATGAGCCACTACACTTGGCCCTAAGTCGTTTTGTTTTTTTTTTTAAAAAAAAAAACAGAACAGGGTCTCTGTTGCCCAGATTGGAGTGGAGTGGCACAATCATGACTCTCTGCAGCATCTATTTCCTTAAATTAAGCCCTTCTCCTGCCTCAGCTTCCCAAGTACATGGGACTACAGGCGTGCACTGCCACACCAGACTAATTTTTAAATTTTTTTTCTAGAGATGAGGTCTTGCTATGTTGGCAAGGCTGGTCTCAAATTTCTGGTCTCAATGATCCACACTCCTTGGCCTCCCAAAGTATTGTGATTACAGGTGTGAGCTACCATGCAAGCCTCTAAGTAACTTTAGAAAAATGTTTTAAATGGCCACAAAAAAGAACTGTACATCAACACTGTACTGTCATTGTAAATTTGTTTCTCGTGGGGTACAGGTTAGCAATTCTGAAACCATACGTGTATAGTAGGGTTGAACATAGGTATAATAAGTTGTAGATGGTGGGAAGCAAGTTGCTCACTGTCAGAGAAAGAAGTTACACATGAGCAAGAGGAGATGCCTGGAATAAAATCTGTGGTGCTCGATTAGGTTTGGAGACATCAATACGAGCTTCATGTTATTTTAATAGATATAAAAATAAATATAGGTATGTGCATATGCATAGGTTAATATACATATATGTATTTCCTGAGTCTGTCTGCTGAAAGGACTTAGAAACAGGGATACCTCAGTGACAACAAGCACACCTAGCACCCACATCTTGGTTTTTAAATACCCTTCTCAATGAAAGAAACCAGGATTCCTTAGAGAAGTGGCTGATTTCAGGGCTAGGTTAAGGAAAATACAGAATGAACCTGGAGCTAGTGCCAGGAAATGAGGCTGTGCGTTAAAAAACAAAGTAAAACGTGGGCCATGACAGAAGGACACAGAAGCAACCTGAAAAACTCCCACTATCTGGAGCTGAAATTATTTGAGCAACAAAACAACAATGGTAATGGATTATAACCAAGGAATGAAATAAATGTCTGAGACTATATGATACAAGTAAATAGATGGAAAAGATGGGACAAGTCTTCCCTACAGAAAAGTTCAAAATAACAAACGTAAAAATAATAAGGGAAATAGAAGATCATCATTTAAACAAACGCAGTCATTGCTGCAGGCAAAGTCCACTGACTAATGCTAAAGTTAGCAGGTAAGACTTAAGAGGACATAGGATGTCTACGTATTCTCCAAACATCTTGTCTAAAATGTTTATTAATTGCTGTGGTGGTTTAACATAGGCCTGGCTTTTTCAGTACCCCTCCCTCTGAGAAGTGGAGCTTTATTTTCCTCTGAGTTTGGGCTGGACTTGGTGGCTTGCATGTAATGAAGATGGAAAGGTAAAGATGGCAACTTTACAGTGGAGAAACCTGGAAAACACTATGACCAAGTGATCAAAGTTAACATAAACAGTAATAAGTCGTGTTAATGTAATGTACCTCCTGATAGGATACTATGAGAAGAGAACTTGACCTCGGGTAGTCTTCCCAAAAATTGGTAGCCTTAGCCTAATCATGAGAAAACATCAGGCAAACCCCAAATGAGGAAGACTCCACAAAGTACAAAGGAGACTTCATGGCCAGCTTCAGTGTATCCTGGTGCAGAAAGAGGATATTAGTGGAAAAACTGGTGAGCTCCAACTCAACACTGTAGCTTAGTTGGTAGTAGTATATGTTAACATGAGGGGAGCTGAGAATAGGGTGTACGGTAACTGTATCTTTTCAACTCTTTTGTAAAGCTAAAATTATTTCAAAATAAAGATTAGAACAAACATACAGAGAAAATACTAAAGAGTGGATTCTTAGAAAACTAGAAGACCTCTTCTTCTGCGTAGAAGAGCTAAGAGATGCAGGTGTGGTGATGATGGCTATAGCCAAGTAGTAATGTGGCCCTTCCGTCCTAACTGCCCTGAGGCAGCTGAGTAATTCAGGGCTGTCCATTTTTCAGAATCATTAGAAAAGTCTAGATTAGAACAGCACTTTCCAGAGTACTCCTTGCAGCCCTGCTTTTCCTTTATGATGTTCCAGGAGAAGGTGGTTCAGCTGGAGTTGGAAAATGCTGCATCCTTTAGCCTTGGCTTGGCAATTGATAGTTTATATTAGCAAGTTAAAGAATCTAAAATTTAGGTATTTTCTTACAGGGTGATTGTTGTCATTTAACTTACTGTGGCCCAAATATATTTTTCCCTGAACCCGTCTTTTCTCTTATGCTGATATCCTGAGAAATTAGTTTTCTTGAATGGGAAGTTCTAATCTAGTAATATCTGGTATTGTCTGGAGATCCTAACATCTGTTGTTTAGAGTCAGCTTTGAAATGAGTTGATCATCCAACTTTGGAAAGTGGTGAAATGAGCCAAATGGCTTTTGCTCTGGATCTGTTCTGCAGCTTTCAGGGACCTTGGGTAGGTGAGGGATTATAACTTGTTTATCCTGCGTACCGTGGTGTCTCAGTAGCCTATAAATCACCTATTAGACAAATTCCTTTCCATGAAATATTAGATATTTCAACATAATCTTATTTTGGAGTTCACTGCCAATTACTTAACTGCCTCTAAAACAAGCACCCATTGAACATTGAATGCTAATCTTTGTTTTAGCTATGTTAGGTTACATAGGGATCTTTCAGATAATCCTTTATTTTCTTATATTAAATGTGTGTAGTGGTACCTGCAGCCTGTTGTTTGTTTCTGGCGTTTTAGGCTCCAAGAAATCAAGCTGTAATTTTGGCAGTTACTCATCCCCTAGGCTTTCCGGGTTACAAAATGCAAACTCTGATGCTTATTTGAGTTAGTGTCAGTAATGGTCTACGTTAGCCAGTACTGTATTGGAAGTGAAGTGTTGCTTCCGTATGTATCAAACACTGGCCAGGGTGTGTGTTGTTCTTAGTTTTTGTACTGGTACCTTGTTCATTTTCAGTTTTAAAATCTGAGGCACTGATTGCGTAACTACTGGATTTAAGTAGTTGCCCTTCTGTATCTGGCTGATGTGTATTGTGTTTGTAAACTGAAGGATTAAATGTGGCAATGACTACTTAACGACTCTTACCTGATGAGGAGAAATGCAGTGATTGATTCTGGTTTTGGTTTTTGTTTTCCAGAGTTGCTGCAATGGAAGTCAAAGGGAAAAAGCAATTCACAGGAAAGAGTACAAAGACATCACAAGAAAAACCCAGATTTCATAAAAATAGTGGTAAGATAGGCATACAAAACATGCTTCCGGTGTGGGTGTTTGGCTATTATAATTGGGGGATGGGGGGCATGTAGCAAATTTCAATTTGTGTTCATTGGCTAGGATTAGGATTAAAAGAGTAGGAAGAAGTACGTGTTACTGTGTATGAGTTAACATGTTGCTCATGACATTTAGACACTTAAGAAATTGCCAGCCGGGCGCGGTGGCTCACGCCTGTAATCTCAGCACTTTGGGAGGCCGAGGCAGGTGGATCACAAGATCAAGAGATCGAGACCATCCTGGTCAATTATTTTGAAACCCCGTCTCTACTAAAAAAAAAATGCAAAAATTAGCTGGGCATGGTGGCGCCTGTAGTCCCAACTACTTGGACGGCTGAGGCAGGAGAATTGCTTGAACCTGGGAGGCGGAGGTTGCGGTGAGCCGAGATCATGCCCGTCTCAAAAAAAAAAAAAAAAAAGGAAATTGCCAGAATAATTGAGAAATGCTTTAGTCATGAAAGACTCCTGATCTCAGTCATTGCTGCTGTTGCCACATTTTATTCTCACTAGTTCACCATACGTTTTATTTTAACGTTTGATAAATTAGGACTGTTGAATACATACTGCTTATAAGCCAAATACTTTTAGGTTCCGAATTTATAACAGTGATGTCTTTATTATTCCATCAGGTGTCAGTATTGTAAAATAGAAAAGTCAGGCAACTGTACCAATGACTAATGTTTCCTTAAAGTGTAGCCGGTTCCGTTTGCATCTCGTTTGTTAGGTACTAATTTGTAAGCCTTCTTGACCAAAAGTTTGTATCAAATATTTTTATTATAGGCTTTAAAATTTTGTTTTCTTAATACTAGAAAATTTGAAAATTAACATTTTAGATGTCCTTGTTATATACTTTCCAAATTCAAGAATATTCATTTTATTCTTGGACTTAAGTTAGTGAACTACTGAAAATTCTGTGTAGGCCATCATTACAGCAGAAGACAAAGGTGTAGAAATAATATCTCTGCTGTTTGCTTAAAGGTAGAGAAGTATACCAAATTGACCCCAGTGGTTATCTCCAGTGGCAGAATCACGCATAGCTTTTATTTTCTATTTCTCTACTCTCTAGGTTTCTTAATCATGAACCCGCATTAGTTTTATAATCAGGGAAATTTTTAATTTGGTTTTGATTGTTTCATCCAGTTCTACTCAAAAGGCTATATGTTGTGTATTTGAGATTAAGACAAGGTATTAGGATTAAAGAGTGTTATTTTCTGTAATGAATATAGTTCAATGGATAAAAGAGACTTGGGCCCAGAATCACTGAACTTGTAATTATTATTGTCATTAGATTCTGGTTCTTCAAAGAAATTTCCAAGAAAAGTTGCTAAGGAAGGTGGATCTAAAATCACATCTAACAACTTTGAGAAAAATATCACAAAACCTGGGAAAAAGGGTGTGAAACAATTCAAGAATAAGCAGCAAGGGGACAAATCACCAAAGAACAAATTCCAGAAGGCAAATAAATTCAACAAGAAGAGAAAATTTCAGCCAGATAGTAAAAGCGATGGTAAGTACGGATTGGTTCAGCATGGTCTTTGCAGAGTCCTCGCACTGCCTGAATTAGCTAGAACCATTGTGCGCAGGTACTCTGGAGGTGCCTTAGAGAGCTCCCATTCTTGTGACGTTTTGGGACAGGTAGATGGGCTTAAATAAACAGCAGAGCATCTTTCATGCTCAGAATTTCTCTCTGGTGCTTAAGAGTTTATTTCTTAGCCCTTTTCTGAATTACTTTAGCCATGGAGTGAAGCTAAATTATAATAAATTGTAATGGCTTTATACCGTGAAACCTCAATAAAGCATTTCTTTCTATAAGCTAAAATGTATTCATTTATTCATTCAACAAGTATTTGAGTTTTCTATGCATTGTACCAGGAGATAGGACAAGTGTGTGCACACGCGCGCACACACACAGAGTAAGTAAAGATACAAGCCCCAGCTAATCATCATAGAATTCTGGCCTTAAAGAATCAGTCTGTCCCCAGCTAAGTGTCAGCCTTGGCTAAGGATGCCTAGGTGAGCAAGAAACATACAGACCCTGCCTTCATAGAATGTAGGCCAGTCTAATACAGTCAACCCATCTGATGGCGCAGATCCATAGCAGTTCCAGAGAAGGTGTTGTGTACACATGACAGATTTGATTTTAATTGGTTCAGGACAAGTTGGTCACTGATAGGCAGTATTGGCAGGTCTCCTGCTTGTCTGTTGAAACAAATTGCTCATCTCTGTCATGATGTTCAGTGGGTCGTTTCTAACCCGGAGCTTTGCTCTCTATTGTGTAACATTCCAGTGTTGTGCATTATTCTACACGGATCTCAAACAAGCAGCATCCGTGTCACATGGATTGACATATTATTTTCTTTGCAACATCCTGAGAATTTTTCTGGTGCCTTTTATTCTCTTTTTCTCCAGCACAGCATATCTGAACACTGCTCCTTTATTACCAGCTGAGACTACTGGGGATGGTCTCATTGTTTCTCCTGAGGGCTGTAGGATCTTCTCAGGCTCCAGTTTCTATCTTCTCTTTTCATTTTTTCTCATTCCCTCATCTTCCTCCTTTCTGACCACCAGTAGTTTCTCTTCCAGCCTCTCTTTTCACTTTCTCTTTCCTAGCCTCTCTAATATATCCCAAATCTTCCTTTCTCTACTGGAGTTTTTGACACCTGCATTTTAAAAACATATACATTCATTTCTCACATTGATGTGAGAAAAACCGTGATTTCTTTTGCTATAGGAGATACATTCCTGATATCTCAAAATGGGACTCTTGATTTCATTTTCTCATATTTTTGTATCAGTAACTAGACTGATAGAATAATATGAGAGATTGGGTATTAGACAACTCCCACACTGATAAATGTCCTGCAGCCTAGCATGGCATATGTCAAGGGTACCCAAATATTTATGGAATTAAATTAGCCCTGGATCAGTTACTATCCTCTGTTGTATAGTAGAGGATACTATATTAATCTAATGGTAAATATGTCTTCTGTTTCCTATAATCTTTTGTATTACCAGGCAGGGAATATACAAGTAAACAATAAGGGACTAATAAATACATTGTAGCATTTAATTGTAGCCGTTAAAAATTATGTTATTGAGGAATGTTAATGTCATGAGAACACATAATCTAATCATACTAAGTGAAGATACATTCTGAATTTTTTTCTTTTTTTGAGATAGGGTCTCACTTTGTTGCCCAAACTGAATTGCAATGTCATGATGATGGCTCACTGCATCCTTGACCTCCTGGGCTCAAGTGATCCTCCTGCCTCAGCCTCCGAAGTAGCTGTGATTACAGGCGTGTGCCACCACACCTGGCTAATTTTTTAACTTAATTTTTTGTAGAGACAGTGTCTCACTATTTTGCCCAGGTTGGTCTCAAACCCCTGCCCTCAAGTGATCCTTCTACCTCGGCCTTCCAAAGTGCTGGGATTAGCGTAAGCCATTGTACCCAGCCACATTTTTAAAGATTAAAACATACATGGAGAAAAATAAAGAGGAAAATAATAAGTGGTTATAGCTAGGTTTTGGTTTTATAGGGCTCTCTTTTTTGCATTTTTCTAAGTTTTTTTAATAGAGAATGGGAGATATTTAGAAGTGACTATTCCCCCAAAGGAGTCTGTGCAGGATACTCATGTAAAAAATACCCATTTTTAGTAAGTCGTTCTTCGTTTGGCATCATTAGTTCAATTGGTAAGTATTTGGATTTTGAAGACAAAAATGTAGTGATAGACACTCGACTTTTATCATATCACTGTGTTTGTGGCAGACTTGAAAATTTTGCTTGTGCATTGCCATGACTAAGACAGCAGAGGATTGTTTCTAGGTTTGAATCCTAGTTCTATCACCGCAGGTTGTGTGGCCTCAGATAGGGACTCGACAGCTTGGTTCTTTTTCCTCACCATACAAGGGACGACAATACTTGTACCTACCTCTTGGGATTGTTGTAAGAAATAAATAGCTTAATATACAACAGCACTCAGAACAGTGAATTTTTTGAAGTTGTTTTTCCTATTCGCATTGGAAATAGGTAATTTTTGTTTTCCTATTTCCTATACGAAATAGGTCTAATTTTTGTTTTCATTGAAAGTTGATTATACCTAAAGTCCAGTGATCTTAATCTTAAAAAGTAGAATTTTATTTTACAATTGAAAAAGATACTTAAAATATTATAGTTACTTTTATAATTCTTCTAATGTCCTTTTCTCTTAAGGATATCCTGTTAGAAGAATTAAGAAAGATTTAAATTGAACCAAACATAAATGTACAAACTGCTCAGAAAGTGAAGTAAAGCATAAGTTTATGGGGGATGGTATGTTCCCCTTTCTAGCTTCCAGACTGAGCATTGATCCTGATTAGTGATTGTGCTTTATACCTAATTTGTATTGGTTTATGGCACTCAGAATGTTAAATGTAATTGAAAATGATTTCTATAATAACTAGAATCAGCAGCCAAGAAACCCAAATGGGATGACTTCAAAAAGAAGAAGAAGGAACTGAAGCAAAGCAGACAACTCAGTGATAAAACCAACTATGACATTGTTGTTCGGGCAAAGCAGATTTGGGAGATTTTAAGAAGGTAATTCTACCTAAAGACATCTCTGTTAGTCCCTTTTCAACAGTGTAGAAGTAAGTGTACCTTGTAAATAGTGAGATATCTTAAAATAAATGACGTAACACTTGCGTTATTGAGGGAGTCTTCATAACACCCCAGTAGAAACATCAGTACTTGGATGTCTGCCCATTGCAGAAATGTGTAGAATCATTACAATGGCATTGGATATGCTTATGAAAATGTATGAGGTTGAAATAAATTTGACATTCTTCCTGAGAGAGATCTGAGAAAACAAAGGACAATTTCTTACCAGCTAGGTTTTGAGATACTTAAGTCTTCGGTATCTTAGATTTGTTTTATTGTTTTTTTTACTTCGGAAGTTCTGGCTGTTAAGTTTGGATTGATACATAAAATTATACCTTGTGAGATGAGTTTCTGCCTTTGAGAAAATTACTTTTGTCTGGCTGCTCTGGAATAGTAATTTTAATGTCAGAGATTTGCTGCCTTAGAAAAGAAAATCATGCTGAACTTGGAGAACATATACTGGCATGCTTTTTAATTTTGTGTGTTTAAAATAACTTTTTTTACTTAAACTGTGTTTGCTTCCTCTTCTCATTTGTAGAAAAGACTGTGACAAAGAAAAAAGAGTAAAGTTAATGAGTGACTTGCAGAAGTTGATTCAAGGGAAAATTAAAACTGTAAGTAGGACATACTCATCGATGCAATTTTAAACAATTGAGGTCGCCTGACTCTCAGGAGTAGCTGACCATTCATGACAGGTGATGTCATTGCTTCCAGTTTATTTGGCCAAAAATTTCAAATACATTCCATAACACTGACTACATAAAAATTTAATTGTGGGGGACCTTGCTGCTGGGGAGTTTTGAAAAGATTATTAGTTGGCTGTGTCGTTTTTAAATAAGTAACATAAAATAAACCATTGTTTTCTTAAAGTTATCTTGTGGAGTTTATTACTTCAATAGTATTTGTTTAGGTCTCTTACTCTAAACTCCATATAATTTATTATGTTCTCAATTGCCAACTTTTTAATATTTATAATATAATCATATTCTTTGTTTTTTTCATGCTTTTGTAAACATGCAAAGATCTTTAAAATATAATCATTTGAGAGCTGGGTACGGTGGCTCACGCCTGTAATCCCAGCACTTTGGGAGGCCGAGGTGGGTGGATCACGAGGTCAAGAGATCGAGACCATCCTGGTCAACATGGTGAAACCCCGTCTCTACTAAAAATACAAAAAAATTAACTGGGCATGGTGGCGCGTGCCTGTAATCCCAGCTACTCAGGAGGCTGAGGCAGGAGAATTGCCTGAACCCAGGAGGCGGAGGTTGCGGTGAGCCGAGATCGCGCCGTTGCACTCCAGTCTGGGTAACGAGGGAAACTCCTTCTCAAAAAAAAAAAAAAAGAGTGTGTGTGTATATATATATATATATATAAAATCATTTGAGAATTCTAAAGTAGTTTTCATTATTGCTGCTTAATCCTGTCTTGTAATAAATTTCCAGTGACTTTTGTATATTTGGATTAATATATAATGGCTTGGAAGACAACAGATCTAATAGTTTTACAACACCTAAAGGGGCAGCCTTTGCCAAATCAGATGCATAGGTTTAACCAGATCCTATATTACAGTTTGAAGGAAAATAGCAAGTCATCAGCTGCTGCTTTCCTATAAATTCAGCAGAATCTTTTTAGGATAGAACTGCCCTCTCAGCTCTTGTAATTTATAAATATTTCACTCAGGATTCTTCCGCAACTACCCCGAGGTCACAGCTGTATGACCATGGTCTTAGAAGTGAGTTTGGCCTGTAATCCCAGCTACTCAGGAGGCTGAGGCAGGAGAATTGCCTGAACCCAGGAGGCGGAGGTTGCAGTGAGCCAAGATCGCGCCATTGCACTCCAGCCTGGGTAACAAGAGCGAAACTCTGTCTCAAAAAAAAAAAAAAAGAAGTGAGTTTGGTATTTAAATCCTGACGGGGCTGCTTAAAATATGCATGCCTTTGAACAATAACAATAATGTATTTATTATTTATTATAGGCTGGGAATTGTGTTAACTAGCACATGCATTATGTCATTTACTACATTATCCCTGTTGTATATTTAATGTGTCCAGGACTCAGAGAAGTAAAGGTTCTTCCTTGGGGTCACAGAAGGATCAAGTTCCTTCTGATAACCTTACTTTCCTTATCTGTAAAGTGGGAATAATAACAGCTCATTCTTATGGTTGCTTTGAGATATGAATGAGAACACTATGTTTAAGGTACCTATGTTAGTTATATAATAGGTGCTTAATATATGCACAAAAACAGACTTATTTTTTACAAAGATACTTCACAGATGTCTTACAAATCTTGAAATTTATGACTTTGATGGAAGTATACCCTCACCTTCTGATTTTTGGAATTCAAAAATTTTAGACAGAGCGAGCAACAAATAAGCACTTTTGAAGTGGACTGGTACTGTAGCATAGTAAAAATAATTTTGCATGACAGATGATTTGTAGACGGTGCTCTAGAAAATTGATCAGTGGATCCTTCCAATAGTCATGAGGAGGAATGGGTTAGAAAATGAGATTCAAACCACAACAATTCTTCTAGAAATATAACTGAGTATATGTGCAGGAATTATAATGAAAATATGACAAATGGATGATTAACTTATATAATTGCCAATGAGTACGACTATGGTTATATTTATTTCTATAGGAAGACTTTTAGATTGATCTTACAGGTATACTTCTGATTGCCAAAGCCAGACATTCTTAGGTCAGTTACATAAAAATCATACAGTGTAATAGACCTTTTAAACAGAAATATTTCCCTTTTAGGGATGGTAACTATCAAAGCAATGAGAAGTATAATCTGTATAATCATCAGATAGTTTAGATTGATCTGGTTTTAATTATAGTGATAGGAGTTTTGTAAAATGGTTACATTTATCCTTGCCTGAGTGTCACTATTAATTGTACCTATTAAATATGGTAGGCATCAAAACAAAGGAGTGATGTTCTGATAATTGAAACAAGTAGTTCTCAGTAATGTAGGTTTGATTTTATCCATGAAGAGTACCATTTTTCTAAAAAGAAATTCCAGAAGAGGTCACAATAAAAAATTAATGAGAAACATAACTCTTAAAAGAGAATTAGTCTAACTCAAACTTATTCCTACAGATTGCATTCGCACATGATTCAACTCGTGTGATCCAGTGTTACATTCAGTATGGTGATGACAAACAGAGAAAACAGGCTTTTGAAGAATTGCAAGGTATTTGTTACATAGTGAAGATTGTGTTATCATTTGTATTAAGTCATTTGTTTTCTCTTGAAATACTCAACAGTGTTCTAGAAAATAATTTTTGTTTAGGTGTGTCTTCTCAGATCCTTTTTTGTTTTTATTTTTTCCTTGCCTGGTACAAATTGAGAATTATTTGTGTTTCCAGGATTGTGCATTTATGTAGTTCCTTCCTTTGTTTCCAGAGAGCTGAAATGAGATCTCAAGTCATTGTAATGTATTTTTGTTTTTCAGGTGATTTGATTGAATTAAGTAAAGCAAAATATTCCAGAAATATTGTTAAGAAATTTCTTATGTATGGGTAAGTTGTTGTGTTTAGAAAATACATTTCTTCTTTGTCTTCTGAAGGCATAAATTCCAACTGTGCTCAGATGTGAGATAGTATGCCTGTGGTCTTTATAAGCAGTTGTAATAGTGCTCAGCAGATGCTTGTTTTGTTTTTAGAGAGTATCATCTTACATACAATTATTGAAATTAATTTAAAACTATAGTACTGTCTTCATTCCTAAAAAGATACATCAGAGATGTCTTGCAAATCTCCTTGTAATTTGTGACTTTGATGGAGGTATATCCTCAGCTTCTGATTTGTTGGAATTCAAAAGTTTTAAAGACAGAGTGAACAACAAATAAGCACTTTTGAAATAGACTGGTACTGTAGTATTGTAAAAATAATTTTGCTTGATGGATGATTTATGGATGTTTATCTTGAACCTTTGGAAGAGGAAAAATGGAATAATTGACTTGTAATTAGCCACCAGTATTAAGAGGGTAGAGACTGGGGAGGGCCAGGTGAGTAGACGAATACAGGGCCAGTAGGTTAGAACATGTCAAGATGTGAGAATTTCCTAAATTAAATGGAGTTAATACTTGTCTTGACCAATCTTTTTGAGTATACTAATGTGCTAGAATATGATAATCAACAACAGAAAAGTATAATATATGCAGTTGACAAAATTTTCAGAAATGTATTCCTAGCTGATATTACCAGCTGTTTGATTCTTTTAGGATACAGTTAAAATACTTGTGACTAAGTCCCATTTTCCCAAAAAGAATCTTAGAATATGATTTTCTATTTCCCTGAATATATGGCTTTTATCTTTTTTCCTGCCCTTTTTTTTTCCAAGCAGAACAGGTTAATAGGAACTGACATTTATTGAGCATTTACTATGTGCTAGTCATACTTCTCAATGCATGCTAGCTCATATACTCCTCAGAGCAACCTTATTTTTGTTTTATGAATGAAGGAGCTGAGGCACAGAGGTTGAATAACTTCCTGCATCTTTCAGCTGGTGAGCAAAACCAGGTTTCAAACCTAGGCAAGCTGGCTGTGGAGCTGCTTAAAGTTTGAAGTGGAAATACAAGGCAGTTTATTTTTCTACTGATAAGCCTGTCTCTGTGGGAGACTCACATACACACGGATTGATGAGTTGGTCTTGGGAGAAGTTGTGTTTTATTGCCACCCAGCTTTCTCCTTCTGTTATTTATTTTTTCCATGATTGTGTTGCGTGTAGAAGTAAACCACAAATTGCAGAGATAATCAGAAGTTTTAAAGGCCACGTGAGGAAGATGCTGCGGCATGCGGAAGCGTCAGCCATCGTGGAGTATGCATACAATGACAAAGCCATTTTGGAGCAGAGGAACATGCTGACGGAAGAGCTCTATGGGAACACATTTCAGCTTTACAAGGTGACATCTCCGGAAGTTTTTTTCTAGTATTTTTACTTTTTTGATATGTTCTTCCTTAACTTCCAGTGCCCTATTTTTAGAATGTATTTTTACCTTGGCTGGTGCTTTAAGAGACCGTCTTATGCCCTTGATTTTCCCTTATGCTTTATTTTGTCTCTGGTGTAGTGAGCAAGTAATCATACTGAGGCTTGTCTTTCTCCAGAGCATTGGCTTTAAATCCCTGTCAATTAAAGCTTTGATTCCCCTCCTGAGTGCTCTGTGTAGAGCGCTTCAGTACGTCTGTTTTTACAGTCAGACTGAGGGAGAAGACTCCTCATAGTTATCAGAATCGCGTAACCACCCCACCCAGCTCTGGCCGAAGAGTATTGGGCTCTCTGTTGGTAGCTTCTCCTGTGTTTTTTCATGTGCATGCATTGCCCTTCAGATTGTATCCGGAGATGAAGGGGAATAGAGAGACCTAGCCTTGGATAGAATACAAGGACTGAATTTGAGAATGGCTAGCAGTTGGACTAGATGTTAAAGAATCTGTTTCAAACCTTGGAACATAAATGCATACATTGGTCTGAAGGAATATGAATGAAGGTTGCCTCCATTAGTCAGGAATTCTTGGGTTGAATTTGTTGCTGTACTAATTTTGTTAACACTTCATTATATTAATAGGAATATCTAACTAATTATAAAACATACTGTGGCAAGAATTTATGAGGTGACTACTTGATCTCATAATTAGGCAAGAGCCAGGTGCTTGACGAGTAACTATGGGCTGGTTAACTTGGTTGGTGTTTAGCCTGGCTCTTTAAATACAATGATAGATATACAGACTGAGAATCAGCTGATCAGGTTACTCCACAGGGATATACAGCAGAGCTTTCATTATGTAAATATGGAAAATCTTATATTTGTTAAAACTTACTTTAAAATGACTATAATTGCTTTTCTTTGTCCTGAAGTGAAATACTTCGTTAAATTTATTGGGGTTTGATTTTTCTTTTGTTCCAGTCAGCAGATCACCCAACTCTGGACAAAGTGTTAGAGGTACGGCCAGAAAAATTAGAGCTTATTATGGATGAAATGAAACAGATTCTAACTCCAATGGCCCAAAAGTAAGAAAGTTGTTTTTGTTTTCTTCTTAATAAATGACATTCAAAGGACGAAGTTTTTACGTAACTGTTGCCCAGAAGAGATGGATATTTCCTGCTTACAATTACTAATCTGTCCTAAATAAGAATGCAAAAACGTTGGTTTGAAACCATTCTTGGTGCAAAAGAAGATTTCTTTTTCTGTTATCATACCCTATAAAATGGTATCTAACATGCAGTCATGATTTATGAGCTTTTTTAAGCAATGAAACATTCTTTTTCCAAATAAAATGTTACATGGAAACCATGTATACTAAACAGTTTCGCAAATATAATCTGTTATTTAAATTTGGTTGTAGGCAAGGCGCAGTGGCTCACGCCTATAATCCTAGCACTTTGGGGGACCAAGGTGGGAGAATCACTTGAGGCCAAGAGTTCAAGACCAGCTGGGGCAATATAGCAAGGCTCTATCTCTACAAAAAAAAATAAGAAAATTAGCCAGGCTTGGTGGTGTGCATCTTTAGTCTTGGCTACTCAGGAAGCTGAGACAGGAGGCTTGCTTGAGCCCAGAAGGTCAAGGCTGCAGTGAGCCACTGCATTCCAGCCTAGGCAACAAAGTGAGACCTTGCCTTAAAAAAATAAAAAAAAATTTAACAATGAATTTTAAGACTTAGAAGCCTGTGCATGTGCCCTTCGTGGCATGTTTCCCATTGTGGAGTGGCTGAGCATAGCTTTGGGAACCAGACTGCCTGGGTATGACTCTTGGTTCTCCACTCCCCCTACTATTACTATGTAACCTCAGGCAACTTAACCTCTCTGTGCCTCAGTTTCCATATCTATAAAATTGGGATAATAATAGTATAGACTTCATAGGATGTTTATGAAGATTAAATGGGTTAGTTGTTCCAAAACACTCAGAACAATGCTTTGCCCATGAAGGCAGTGTTAGTTTTTGCTGTCTACTTGGATATGGCCTGTGAACTTTAGGTCTTTGATGCTTGACCGTCAGCCTCCACTGTATACCTGGATGTGTCGCACTAAGGGGTCTGGATTAAGTAGGTGTTGTTGCAATTGCTGACAATGTTTGGTTCATTCAAGTTTTAATGAAACTTGAATGCTAAAATTATTTGTGAAGCAGGTGGATTGTGAATAGTGTTGGCAGAAATAAAACAACTATTTAAAAAAAAAAAAAAAGGTCCACATGTGGATTTCTAATCATTATGCCCAGTGCTGGGGAAGAAAATGTAGGTAGCCTCATTTAACAGAATAGAGTGTATTTTGAAGGTTTGCTGATTAGATCCTAGAAGTTTGTATTCTGGTCTTGGTTGTAGATGGCACTGAATCAATTTTACCATCTAAAGTTTTTTTAAATCTTAGTATTTCTGAAAGACGCAGTCTATTTTATGACAAACTATATTCAATAAAACCATTTCACATGTTTAGATTACTTTAGGACTTCTGAGATTACCTATCTTTGTATGACTGTAGTGCCAGATCTGATGTATCTCTTGTTTTTGTTTTTTGTTTCTGTTTTCAGGGAAGCTGTGATTAAGCACTCTCTGGTGCATAAAGTATTCTTGGACTTTTTTACCTATGCGCCCCCCAAACTCAGATCAGTAAGTTCTTGGTTTTTGTTTTTAAACAAAAACATGGTGGAAGAGGACTAGAAATTTGAAAAACTGCTTTGATGTATGTTGTCTACTAATCATATTGAATTTTTCTATCTTAATTATAACCCGGAGAGTATCCACTAGCTGACCTAATCTGAAAATTAACTAACTTGTGGAGGAATATTCAAGCATTTGGATAGTTTTAAATTCAACTGTGCAATACAAAAAATATATATATAGGTTGACATTAGAAAGTTAGAGGAGGATACGTTTGTAAAACGAAATGGACCATGAAAACCTGGGCTTTATGTGATAGAAGAACAGAGAGTGAAGGTAAATTGCACTGTCCTTCCAGTCAGTCATGGGAATAAAAATGAGAATTCATCATTTAGTTCCCTGAACTTTGCTTGTCTCATCGTACAGTGAGCTCATTGTCCATTTGTCCTCATTTTCCAGTCACCGGGGATAACGAAAATAATGAGACTGACTTAACAAATATGCCAGACTATACATTCATTGGAGTTTTGACCCTCTGAAAATTGGCATGCCAAATAATTTCCCAGCGGTAGCCACCCACCTAAGCTTATGATTCAGTGACCATAGCAGTACCTTCTCTTCTGAGGATTTCTCTTCATTTCCTGCAAAACAGAGTGTCCCACAGTTCTGGATTTACTAGGCAGGAGTGTATGTTCAGAAATGACACAATGATCATTTGAATATATTCAGTGGTAGAAAGTATCTTTTTAGTGTTGAATGTTTTAGTCACAGCAAAAAATCATTTGGAACTTAGCATGCATGTAAAGTAATGAGACAGGTTGTCTTTTCTGGTACTGGGGGCATTTTCAAAACAGACTTAAAAAAAAAACCTTTGGGGAAAACTGAAGCATAATTAGAATATATGCGTGGCTATCCATCTGGGTAGCTTTGAAGAGATTCCTAAGTTCAGGTATGTTAGTTGAAACTGCTCTTAAGAGTCATGTTGGAAAGGATTGTAAGATACTTTAGGGTGAAATTGTTTGTTCCTTATTGATGAAATTAGGCATCTACCCTCTTGTTCCTTCATAAGGCTTCATATTTATTTATTTAACATACATCTTTTAATTGGGAATAGACTAAAATGGGGCCCTGCTGCTGTGAGTTGCCGGAACTCATTTACATCCTATGTGCTTAGACTTTGAAAATATAAAGAAGAAATTATAGACATGGAAAACAAAGGCTAAAGATGAAATTAAGCTAAGCTACCTATGAGAAATTAAATGATTTTTTACTAATGGGTCATTTTTAGGTAAGGTCTTAGTCTAAATGTTAGTATAGAAATTTTTCATAAGGAAATGTTATGTAAGCAGGTTGATGGTAAAGAATATAATTTTTGGTGATAATGTAGTTATAAACTAAACAGGAAACTTTTTCAGTCAAAATGAGTGTTTTGACTCTGTTTATTGTGTATGTGTCTCTTTTAGGGAAGAGCATTTTATCTTGCTATTCTGTTAAAAGTTGCTTTCTTATCACCACCACCTCCTAGGCATCTTTTTCTAGGAAAATTATTTAAAATATACTGCACATACAGCCTGTGACTTTTTTTTTTTAACAGACATTGGTTAAAGTCAGATATTGTGTTTAATAGAAATTGTCTGCCAGCAGTATTTACTGCTCTTGATGGAAAAGAACGTTTCTAGAAAGAGGTTGTTGTTTCTGTTTGATTGTCTAAAATGACATTGTTTGCTACCTGCACTCTCTTCCTTTCCTTCTCTCTGCATAACCGCCCCTGTAGACAGACAGTTAAAACAGCAGAAAGAAGAAAATAAAGCAAAGCCCTGTTCCTGACAGTATTTGTTTCCTAGGAAATGATTGAAGCCATCCGCGAAGCGGTGGTATACCTGGCACACACACACGATGGCGCCAGAGTGGCCATGCACTGCCTGTGGCACGGTACCCCCAAGGTAAGTGTGACAGCACTTGTGCGTTTAAACTGTACAAGTCAGGGCCATGCTTTATCTTCAGGCTGGACTTAGCTGTCCTGAGACTTTTAATCCCCTTTGGTCTTTGCCATATTGTGCTTGGCAACATTATCTTCTAAAAGTTGTGCCTCTGGGTCTGATGGGAATGAGCCATCTTCTTTAGGCCTAGTGTTTCTTCTCTGCTTTAGTAGAAACCTTGAAGTTTCATTAAGGATGGGAAGAGATCTGTCAAGCAAGTAAACATAATATGTATTTAAGCTTAGTTTGTAGAGGTTTTGGTACCCATTGGGCTCTTCATTCCTCATTTAATAATCATACTATGGTAGGGGGAAATAGGAAGGGATAACAAACAGCTGGCCACACACATTTGCTCCTGTGGGTGTTAAGTACTTGAGGGGAAAGGTAAAGATCCTTATTAATCACAGAAGTTTAGCAGAAATGATCATTATTTCCTTGGTCAGCATAATTCTGCCTTTAAAAGATAGTTGTACTGTATCTACTTTTTTAATGCAAATTTAATTTTGTTCAACAAATGCATACGAGTACTAACTATGCTAGACTCTGCATTTGAGGACAGTTCAGACCTTGGAAGAGGGATCTGTCAGGTCCCTCTGTGAAAGGTGGCTTCACTGGGTTTGCCTTGCAACTTGCAACTTAATAATTCTATATTTATGTCTGAATGGATTGTCATATACACATCTAAGCTTATAATAGCTCTAAGAGAACTTCTTTGGTATGTTACAGTTTTTCATTCTGGCTACATAACTATTATTTTAATAATGAAAAATATGCCACTCCAATGAAAACTTAATAAATATTATATTAAAATGTTTATGAAATATCCTTAATACATAACTGAAAGCTCAGTGAGACAATCTTTACTTTTTAAGGACAGGAAAGTGATTGTGAAAACAATGAAGACTTACATTGAAAAGGTGGCTAATGTAAGTATAATAGAACTACATATTTTTTCTAATTATTTTTAAGATGAATTCATATCTATTAGAGAAAATTTTGAAAAATTCAGAAAATTACCAAGAAGAAAATTATTAGTTGTCTTATTATATTTTTCTGTACATGTTCATGTATTTTCATATTTTATTTACACAAAATGGGAATCATGCCACATGCATTCTTTTCTTCTTTTTAAATTTAACATTGTATTGTGATAGTTCTCTACCTTTCTTAGATATTCTTTGATATTTACTAGCATCTTTGGGGAATTTGTCCAGTCATGTTAATTAAACATGGGAATTACTGCCTGGATAAGGTAGGTACATATTTTATTTTAGTCTTTGGGTAAATGATGCCAGATTGCACTTCAGAAACTTGATAGTAGTTTTTCCTTACGACCAAAACCATAAAAGAAATTAAAATGTATCTTTTTATTTTTTAAGAATAAATTTGCAGTGTCGTTATGGAAATTTTGAGTTAAATTTTATAGTTCTTTAGAAATGCAATAACAGTTTTCCTAATGAAATTCATGGGGGCAAGAAGTTTTATCGGGGAGATTTGTTGCTTTATAAATAGTGTTTATATATAATTAGATATTAAATAATTTTTCATACTGGTACTGCGGAGTACTACAACTAGAATATATGTAGTAAATAAAATTTTAATTTTTGAGTTAAATTTTATATATTTGATGGATAACAGTTCATCAGTAAAGTTCTAATTTATTGAAGAACTAAAATTATTTCATAATCAACTACTTTGTCCTTTGAAAAAAATACAGTGAGAACTACTAGCATCTGGTGAATACTTCAACTTGTTTGAAATACTAAGTCAAACAATTAAAAATTAATGCTGTGTGATTGTGTACGTAACTATTGTCTTCTGTTGGAATAGAGATTAGAGAAATTCAGAAGGCGGCTAGCTTTCCTATAACAAAGTGAAGTATCGCATTCTCTGATGAGTTGTTTCAAGTGTGTGATTTTTTATGATTCATAATTTATTGTTAAGTAAATTTTTATGCATAAGTTTTAATCTGATATTCTAATTTGAATACTTTACATTAAAATGAGTAAAAACTAGAATGTTAATAGAAAATTCACAGGAGTATTAGTAGTATGACATTTTTAAATAATAAAATTAGATTGTTTTAGTTCTACAGTTTGGTTATGTCAGGTAGTTCAGCACTAAGTTTTTTGAGAACCTAATCTCAGCATGACATCATGATGGTAACAGAAATTAACAATGCATATCTTTTTAAACCTCTAAGAGTTATTTCTAAGGGGGTGATAAACTAACATTACCAATGGATTTGATCCATGGATTATTTAGAATTATTAATTTCCAGATACTGAGGGTTTCTTGATACAGGCTACATTATCTTGTTCCTTTTAAATGTATTGAGACCTGTTTTGTGGCCTAACATCTGGTCTAAGTGTTTTTGAAATAATATATTGTGGAGTTGTTTGGTGGGGTATTATGTCAGTTAGACCAAAGTAATTGATAGTGTTTATACCATCAATGTTTTTACTGACCTATTATTTTCTAGTTCTGTCAGTTGCTGAGACAAACATGTTAAAATTTCCAACTGTACTTGTGGATTTGTCTGTTTCTCACTTATATTCAATTTGGTACCAGCTTCTGTTGTATTCATCCAGAAATATTTTATGTTTGGTTACGCTTATGTGTGTCCAACTTCAGAGAACTGAAACCAGTGATTTTGTGCTAGGCACATTGTTCTCTATTTTGTTTCCTTCACTTAATTCATATTAGGGGTCATTTTATTTCAGTATATATACATCTGTCTACCTCACTCTTCTCAGTGATTGTAATATTTCATCATACACCTGTGCCATGATTTATTTAATAAGTCCCTATTTTGGGGCATTTTGGTAGTTTCTAGATTTTTTTTTTAATTACAATTAGTACTCCAGTGAATATACTCATATGAAAGTCTTTGTACTTACATGGAAACATTTGTGCAAGAAATAAATCCTTAGAACTAGAATTGCTGGATCAGGTCATACCTGCATTTTAAATTTTTATAGGTGTTGTCAATTGCTCTTCAAAGAAGTTGAACTACTTTACATTCTCACCAACGTTCGAGTGTACCTGCTTTTCCCTAAACCTTTGGTAAATTAGTCTGTCAGAGGTCTTCACCATCCCCTATGGGACAAACGGCAAATGGCATTTCATTGTTTTAATTATTATCCTTAATTAGTTAGTACAGCATTATTTCACACATTTAAAGACATTTGTACTTCTCTTTTCTGTGAACTGACTCTTCGTGTTCTTTGCCCATTTTTAGTTGGTTGTTGGTCTTTGTGTGGTAAGGGTTTTGGACCTTTGTTGTTTATCTTCAGTTTGTCTTTTTGACCTTACAATTACCAATTTTGTTATTGTTTCTGGTTGAAATTGTATTATCTGTGATATTCATCAGATCTGGCTTTGAATGATTGTGGGCTATAATCAAAAATCAAATTCCTACCAAAATTTAAAACAATTGTATCAACATCCAGGACACTAAGGCCACACACTCTGGAATCAGGCTTTTGTTTTCGTGTTTTTGTTCTTAACATAAAGTAGGTGTTCTTTAAATGTTTGGAATAGTATTAGCATCATGGAAATAATTTTATTATTTCAAAGGATGAGTGTTGTGAAAGCCACATGTGTATTTCTGTGATCTCATGCAGCTGTACTTTAAGTAATGATTTTTATCTCATTCAATATACAATTATACCTTACTAGTTTTTTTCATTTTTATTTTCTAATTTTGTGAGTTCACTTTAAAGAAATTGAGACAATAGAAAAGAAAATTAAAAATCATTTGTAAACCCAGAGATGACTATTACAATGCTTTGCCTTCCGGGATTTTCTGTGTACATGTATTATGTATATCGTGTGTGTATGTAAAATTGTATGAGTTTATATTTTTATGTTGGAATATCTTATATATGTGTTTCTGTATGTAGGTTTTTTTAATTTAATCTTACAACTTGAACTTTTAACTATAATTTTCAAGTAGCTAACAGGTATTAGTTTTAGGATATTTGGTAATAAAGAATGTGCTTTTAAAAAAGTCAACATTGCCTCTAGAATATAATTAATGAGGTCTTGATAAGAGAGGAAATTCATTATAATGACTTTTATTCATTTTGCTTATATTATGTTAGACAAGTTGTCATTGTAGATAACATTGATGAAGGTATTCTGTGTATGGAATAAGAGGGAAAACCTATGCACTTGTTTTTAACCTATTGGCTTCCAATTCTTGTAGGGCCAGTACTCCCATTTGGTTTTACTGGCGGCATTTGATTGTATTGATGATACCAAGCTTGTGAAGCAGATAATCGTATCAGTAAGTAATTCTGATGGTCTTGAATTTAAGTTACATTAATAAACCAGTTGCGGATGTAAGCTTGATTTCACTATGCATGTGTAAAGACTTTCAGCTGTGCTTTCTATCAGGATTTCTGCTTACTTTTAAGTTAATTATGTTTTATTTTGGAGATTTGTTTTTGTTCCTGTATCTTAACCCTGTAACTTGATATTAATACTGTTTTAAATATTTAAAACTGGTCAAATTAAGATTTAACACTTGTATTTTAGATTAGGATAACATGGACTTTAGATCATATGCAATTATAAACTATGAAAAATTAGCAAAGTGATATTTAGATATGATCAGAAATCAGTCAGCATAGGAATTCCTCAGTTATTCCAGAACTCCAATACAGGCAGAGGATGTCTGTGACCTATTAAATTATCTCTCTCCCTGTGGAGAAACAATTACCTCTGCACAGTTACCCAGTTAATCAATATATATATGCTGGATCGAGCCGATAGAGAAGAAAAGTGTACAAAACTCTCAGTTGTGATGCTCCTTAGAGATTTTGTAGGATCAGATTAAAAGTTATTACTAGAATTAAAATTGTAACTTCCTTTTTTCACTTCAGCAATTCCTTCTAGTCTAGTATAATGACCATATAAAATGGTAATACTTGAATGTAGCGTATTTATCCCTAAACTTGCCTTCAGAAAAACCAATTCTCCTCTTAAAGGAAGTACTCCAAAGTAAAAATTGCATTATAAACTGTTTCTGTTTTCGTCATTCTGCAGTGAAAGCCTCTTTTTCTCATTCTACGATTGTCTTTTCCCTTCCTTTTAATGTATGAGTGCTGTTGAGTATATGGTAGATGTTGCAGCAGGGTGGGGATAAGAAAATGCAAGCTTTGATAGTAGTGACCAACTTGGAAACATTTTGAAAACCACATCTATATAGATATAGGTTATTCATCTGAAAATTACACAGGGCTTTCTGTTTGATATACATGAATGGAGCCCTTAGATAAATCTTAGTGCCAACAAGTGATACTTTTACATCGGCAAGAAGGAAGAATATGGATGATTCAAAAAGAGAATTTACCTATTGTCAGGTGGTGGTGCTGTGGTGTCTCTTTGTAGCCTTTCGGGATCAATAGAGCTGGGTGTAGTATAAAAACCGTACCAGCCAGTGGAAGGGAAGATTGTTTTCTTAGATGCCAGCTGTAGGTCCCAGTGTGTGTGAATTTCTCATGCCCTTGCTGTCATTTTCCAACTTTACCCTTGACTATTTTAAGATTGTGATGACTTTCTTTGGGATAGAATTGTGGGAAGAAACAAGTTGGCAAGACTTTCATGTTACAAACTGAGTATTTTGACATGTTCCTTGTGACTTTATTACCCTTTTGACTCCAATCAATAATGATTGTTTTTCATTCTTGCGACCAGAGATGTGAGGCCATAGAATTAGCTAATGAATAAAGTTGTTTCACAGAAATGGAAACAGGCTGGGATATTGAAAGTTTGCTTTTGTTTAATATTTTGATGGCAACTAAAATTTGCATAACTGTTCCAAATGAATTTCAAGAGAAACCAAATTTCCTTCACGATTTGCCAGAATGATCTGTTAATTTTTTCCAAAGATGTATGCCACTTAAAGTTGCCGTTGAAACAGTTTTAATTCCTTATGCTTATCACTTTGATTCCCACGACTGCTTAACCCACATTCTTAATGACTTTCTCATGCTTAGGGCAGCTTTCCCTGAATGGCCTGATTTGCTGTTCTCTTGCCTGTAACTGACAATATTCAACAGGTTCTGTGTATTATTAAACTGTGTAGCTCGTGATAAAATTCTGGAATGCTAATTGCTCTTGGATTTTTCCTACCCCTCGTCTACCACAATAATGGTTGCAGTATGCAATGCTTTTTAAAAATAACCTAAAAAGTTAAGTGTTGCTAAGCACTCTGTTCAGGGCACCTAGACTTCCCATAATGTCAGGTTGAAATCACAGCCTGGTCAGTTGAGCCTTTCACCTTTCAAAATGGTTATGAGCTCTTTCTTACCTAGTTTACTTTCCAAAATAAACATAAAGTTTCATCCAGTTTACCATGCAGTCATTGATATGCAGGTGGTTTGGCAGCAATGTTCATTGGAAAGTAAATAAGTACACTAGCCAATTGCTGTTTGAGGGTGAATAAATATTAATGCATATTTTTAAAGGCATCGTCTTTAAAATATACAGAAAGGTATGAATAATACAGTGAACACCCAGCCTCCTGGCATCTGACATGACATAAAATGTGACAAATACAGTTCAAGTTTGAGCCTTTTGTGGACCCATCCCTGATATCCTATCATCGGCCCATATCTGCTATGATAAATTTGGAATTTATTATTCATATGCATTCCCTTATCCTTTCACTATTTGTAAACATTTTTTATTTTGCAAAACATGCATCTGATTTTACATGTTTACAAGGTCTGTGTAAATGATGTCTTACATGTATTCTTCAACATCTTGCTTTTTTTCTTTTGTCATGTTTGTGAGATTTATCATCAGGGGTCAGCAAGACTTTTTTGTAAAGGGCCAGATAATAATTATTTTAGCCTTTGTGGGCTATATATATGGTCCTGTCATGTATTCTTGTTCATTTTGTTTTTGTTTTTTAGGACCCTTTTGAAATGTAAAAACCATTATCAGTTTGCAGGATGGACAAAAGCAGGCTATAGGCTGATTTTGACCAATGGGCCATAGTTTACCCGTCCCTATTCTAAATAATTTATTTTTCGCTGCCAAATAGTAATTTATTACATATGACTATACTGCGATTTATTTTCGTTTCCTGGTGATGGATGTTTAGGGTGTTTACAATTTTAAAAATTATCTTTAATTCTTATTAGTTTTTGCTAATCCAAATCCATGAACATTCTTGTATATGTCTCCTTGGGTACATGTTAAGTTTCCCTAAGGCACTTAGCAGAATTGCTGGACTGCCAAATCTGCTGCACATATATTTATATAGAGTCATGTGTTCCTGTTTCCTGCTCAGCCATTACAAAACTATTGCCTTACGCACTGCTTTTGAAAATAGCCAAGAAAGCTTAGTGTGTTGCTAAGCATTCCATGAGTGTAACTAGGGTTCACAAAATGTCAGGTTGATATCATAGCCCAATAATCACTCCTTGTTTTCTGTTTAGACTAAACTCTAGTGTAATCATCAGATAGTGATCTCCCAGTCAGATGTGGTCTCCCCATCCACTCAGCTACTGTAGTCTTTGTCTTTGCCATCCTTTCCTGGAGTAGTTGATCATGGTCTGACCCAGGCCTCACAAACCTGCAGACCTTCACTGACCAGATAGGTAAATGAGTGGCCAGGCCAGGTGTGAGACAAGGAGATTATACTCACCTCTTTCTTTCAGCAAATTAACAAATTTTACAACAATTAAAGCATTTGTCCTCTTTTGTGAGTTAATTAAAGCTTAATGTATGTACCTAAAGGTACACTGAAGGCACACTCAAGGTACCCCATGTTTGGGGCACTAAATACTTCATTATCAAAAACACATAGATTGGTTGGGTGTGGTGGCTCATGCCTGTAATCCCAACAGTTTGGAAGGCCAAGGTGGGTGGATCACGAGGTCAGGAGTTGGAGACCAGCCTGGCCAACATGACTAAACCCTGTCTATACTAAAAATACAAAAATTAGCTGGGTGTGATGGTGCATCCTATAGTCCCAGCTACTCCAGAGGCTGAAGCACAAGAATTACTTGAACCCAGGAGGCAGAGGTAGCAGTAAGCCAAGATTGCACCACTGCACTCCAGCCTGGGTGACAGAGTGAGAATAAAAAAAAAAAAAATACACATAGATTGAGTTCACTTTGGAGCTTGTTTGCCTTGAGAAAGTTCCCTACCTTGTAATAAGTTCTGTATGTTTTTTGTGTGTCTTTCCGTTTATTACTGAATTTTTAAATTCATTTTCCCCGGGTGTTTAAAATTATATATTTATTTTAAGGTGGTTAGAGCTATTGAATCTGCTCTCTGAAAACTTTCATGTTTTATATGGGAATCTTTACAGTGTGATCTTAAACTTCAGCAGTAGTTAGGAGAGCATAGTGGGGATTGGATTGGTGGAAACAGGACATGGTGGTCAAAAGATTATGTAAGATGAGCAGTGTGCGGCTCTCAGTAGTGCCTGACTCCTAGGAAGCACTTAATGAGTGTTAGCTACTATTATTGGAAGTGTGCTATCTTTTGTGCAAAAAATGAGGGAAAGTTGGGATTTTAAAGAGAGAAACATGGTGTGTAGAACCTGGAGTGGCATCATCAGCCGGGAATATGATTATGACACAGTGAGATTCCTGGTCTCATGGTTGATGACTTGATTTTGAGCTCGGTTCCTCACACTAAAATTACTAAACTCATCTTAGTAAATAGGCCCTTTTAAGAAGAACAGATCTGAATATATCATCCCAGAGAGAATTCCTTTCCTTAAGAGGAGGTTTTACATTTTCTTTGAAAGAAGTGGTTTTGGAGTTGGAGGACCAGAACTAGGTGAGCCCCGAAACTGCCCCTGTGAGTCCTCTGGCAGATCCTCTCCTCTTTCTGGATGTCTCATCTGTAAACCTGGCCAGCTGGACAGAACTCTTTCTGAGGCCCAGCCAGTTCTAACGAATATGGGGTGCTCAGATAAGCATTTGAATATTATAAAGTTCGTTACAAGAAATAGGAATATTAGAGGTGGGGAAACAAATCGATGACTGTTCTGTTGCATCTTCTCTATTAAGAATAAAGGAATTTTTTTTAAATGTTAAGTGACTTTTCTGTCTTTGAAAACATCAGATTGATACAGGAATTTAGTTAGGGTGGGGATGACATTGCTTTTGTCCCTTAAATTCGAACAACTAGAAAGGAGGTTACTGTTCTTGGGGATGTTGATGGAAAATGTCATGGTATAATTTGTAACTGCTCAGTTGAGTCTTTCTGGATTTGTCTTCCCCTCCTCCTCTGTTTTTGTTTTTCAGTGCAGTAGCTAAACAGCCTTCATTTGCTATGAATAAGCAACCTAACTTTAAAAGCCTTTATCCACTTGTTTGATTCAACAGAGTTTCTTTACCTCTTTTCACATACATCTCAGCAGGGAAATTCTAATAGAAATGTTCTTCATTCATGCTGATGCTACATTTAAATGCAGCTGCAAATTAACTGTCTCTGCTCAGTGCCCTCAGCAAGTCATGTCCCTAGTAATAGATGCCCAAGAAATACTGGCCATAATGAATTAAGGTAACACCTTTAAATATTTTTTAGGTCCTTGGGTTTGGTCACTTAATACAATTGAGTTGTTCACTTATGCTAGTCACAAAAGAGAATTGATTCTGTGTTCTAAATGTAAATTTCTATGTCCTTTAATGAGACAATTTCAGAACTATCTCTACATTTTCCATGAAGTACGCTGGGAAAAATATTAGTTAAATATGTATTCTTCACTATTCAAATTCCAGGCGTACTTTAAGAATGTAGCTACCATTTTTTGTTTATAATTTTATAGGACACTGTGCTTACTTCAGCAGCACATATACTATAATTTTTTGGTTTTTTGAGACAGAGTCTCACTCTGTTGCCCAGGCTGGAGTGCAGTAGAACAATATCGGCTCACTGCAGCCTCCGCCTCCTGGATTCAAGGGATTCTCCTGCCCCAGCTTCCTGAGTAGCTGGGATTATAGGCGCACAGCACCACGCCCAGCTAATTTTTTTGTATTTTTTCATAGAGACGGGGCTTCACCATGTTGGTTAGGCTGGTCTCAAACTCCTGACCTCGTGATCCACCCACCTCCACCTCCCCAAGGTTGGGATTACAGGCGTGAGCCATCAAGCCAGCCACACATACTATAATTTTATAGGAAATTATCAGTTTGTTGCCTAGCATAGTAAATGACAAATACGGAAGGAAGATCCTGTGGTACTTTAAGAAAGCAGATATTGATTCTTCTTTTTGTTTACAATTTTATAGGAAATTATCAGTTCATTGCCTAGCATAGTAAATGACAAATATGGAAGGAAGGTCCTATTGTACTTACTAAGCCCCAGAGATCCTGCACATACAGTTCGAGAAATCATTGAAGTTCTGCAAAAAGGAGATGGAAATGCACACAGGTAAAAGCAACTAGAATGGCTCGACTTCATTCCTTTGCTCTAGTTGTCTGCTGATATTGAGTAGCGCATGCTTCCAGAAATCCACTCCTGTGTCCATACCCTCTCTCTAAAACTGCTCAAAAGGTGGATTCCATTTTTAAGCTTGTATTTTTGACAGATTCTTAAAGTTTTTATCTTGAAAAGGAAATAGAAGTGTCCTGCCAAAAGAACACCTCTGAGCACCTGGCATTTAAGTGTGTGGTTTGGCTTCTGTTTTGATTTATTTTCAATGCTACCGATACTACATATTTAAGTACCTTAGAGTGTGGTATCCATAAAGCAGTGTAAATGTGTTGTTTCATGGTTATGCTATTTGGTTTTTGAATTTTTTTTTTCTTTTTTTTGGTATTACACGAGCCAGACTCTCTTTATTGAGCACTTGTTCTGTGCCAGAAACTATTAAGATCCTGGAGACCCAAACATGAAAAACAACACACCCTCAAATCACACATTGTCTCTGTGCTTAACAGAAAGAGATAATAATGATGGAGTGTGATACAGTCTATGATAAGCTTTTAGAGGTTTTTGTGATAATAAGATCACCACATTTTGTTTGCCATTTATCTTACCTTAATACCTCATTCAATATATTTAACAGTAAGAAAGACACAGAGGTCCGCAGACGGGAACTCCTAGAATCCATTTCTCCAGCTTTGTTAAGCTACCTGCAAGAACACACCCAAGAGGTGGTGCTAGATAAGTCTGCCTGTGTGTTGGTGTCTGACATTCTGGGATCTGCCACTGGAGATGTTCAGCCTGCCATGAATGCCATCGCCAGCTTGGCAGCAACAGAACTGCATCCTGGTGGCAAGGACGGAGAGGTGATGTACTGTTAAAGGACAGGCGGGAATGCTGCAAAGGCCGCAAAAACTTCAGTCACTATAAAGAGAATTGTAACCGTGATTGTCTCAACTCACCTTACACCAACAGTACATGTAGAGATTGTGAATTCACAACACAACCCTGTTGTAGCCTTCATCTGTCTCGGGAGCTTGCTCCACATAACTCCTAGGTTTAAATTTGAATTTGCTGTGGACACTTTTTCCCTCAGCAAGTTGAGACCCCAAGGCCTTGTAGTTCTGTGAAAATTCCAGGCTAAGGGAACAGGCTGTGCAGAAGTGCTAAGGAGGGAAGGAGCCGGGCATGTTTGAGAGCAGAAGGCTCAGGGGGTTGGAAGTGAGTTAGCAAAGGGAACAGGAAAACAGATACCAGGTCACATGGGGCCTTCTTCCTGGGCTGGGTTGTAAGATCCTGACAAATAGACAGTTTTGGGGAATCTACTATTTCCCCATATAGTAGGGGCAGTGGCCTCTGCTTTCACTTAATTCTCCTAACAGCCTTTCATTATAATCCCCAGTGTTACAGTTTGAAGATCTGCATAATTTATTCAAGTTCCATGCATTTCATTCATTTATCAGAAATATAGTAAACCTATATTGAATGCCTGCAAACGTGTTCAAAGATGAAATGACAGGGTCTCTGCCCTTAAAGGGTCTGGGATCCATTGGAGAGACCCATGCAGACAAGACATGTACAGCAAGGTATTGTTGCATTGAGTTATGTTAAGCATGCAATGGGAACTGAATAGTAACATCCAAATTTTAGTCCAAATCTAAGGACTTCTGATTAGTACTATGGATTGTTTTAGCGAGGAATGCTTTGCTGCAAATACAGTGTCTCACGGTAGCAGTTAGGTGCATAATTACCATTTTAAGAAAAACAGTGGTACACAGTGCCAGGTGTGGTGCAGCAGCTCAGTGTCATCTCATCTCCCTGGCTCACCCACTTCTCCACATCGCTGTCTCAAGCAGGAATAAAAGAGCCAGAAGGCTTTTTCTCCTGGCACTGGTAAGGAAATATCCAAACAGGCTTCCCTGACGTTTTACTGGGCAGAAATGAGTCCCATAACTAATTCTGGACCAATCTGGCAGAAGCGATTGGATTACCAGAACTCGTTCAAACCAGTGAGGATGTATCCTGATCACGGAGGAAACTTTAGAAAATGCAGGAGGAGGAGGTGTGGTGTCAGTCAGTAAGAAAGCTGGCCGGGGGAGATGCCTGTTACCAAGAACCTCTCACAGCAGCAGTTACATTATATTCAACTTTAATTTTCTCTAGCCATCTGGGTCAAAGCCTGGCACTTGGGAATGTTTTACAGACGTATTTGGTTATGGATGAAATCAACGCCAAGTGTTGAGTGCCCAAGGTGCTTTTGATACCTAAGACTGGGGAAGAGAAGTGGGCCAGGGATCTTAGAGAAGCCCTGGCTCCTGACCGTATTAACAAACTGGAAAGCTGCATGCATTTTCAAAGTTTCTCTATAAGGAGACTGAGCCAGTTGCCTCCCATACTCGCTAAGGAGAGGCCCAAATAATTGAGGGAACAATTGGTATGGCTCTTGAAAAGGAGTAAGGTTGAGCTGAAGAGATGCTTTCTTGATTTGCTCATCAGATAATTCCCTTAGGTAGTTATGTGTACTTAAAGAGCATGCAGCATTGGGTTTTGATGTTTGTGCCATAGTAGGTTTATTCCTGTCTGAGAATGGCATATTGCAACCTAAGACATGACTAGCACTAAGGTGAGCATTGTGCTGCTGCTGTTCAGAGCAGGTTTCATGAAGCTGAGACGGAAGTGCTATGCAGTGGCTGTGCTATCTGACATAACCATCTTTCAGTCTGGGGATTAGAATAGATCTCTGGTCCCCCCAAGTATGGTGGTTGTTTAGATAAAGACCTCTTAAGCCTGTGGAACTTTAAAAGTGGCTCTATGTGGTGACATAAATTGTATGTATCCATTCAAATGTATTTGCATGAATGAAAACAGCTTTTAAAATGAACTGTTCTTGACCCCTCAGCTTCACATTGCAGAACACCCTGCAGGACATCTAGTTCTGAAGTGGTTAATAGAGCAAGATAAAAAGATGAAAGAAAATGGGAGAGAAGGTAGGCTGTGCCATTTGACCTTTTCTTGTATCTTATAAGGAATTCTAGTAATTCCTGGCATCCCTGAACTTTATACCAGCCATTTAAGCGCAAATGAAGTTTGTCAAGTGTTTGGAAATCATGTCTGTAGATAAGAAATGATTCCGTGGTTGCTGGTAATGCTTTGTTCCCTGGAAATTTGTGTCCGAGAACTCTTAATTTTCTTTTTTCCGCCCTCCCTCACTCTTTCTGTTTTCCTTCCTCTGCTACTGCAGGCTTCTAACCGGGCTTGGTCAATGCCCTAAAATGCTATTCTAATTGTTGAGTATCATTACCTCAGTAGAAAGGCACGATGTTTATCTCTATGTTTGAGGAAAGAATAAGCGAAGAAGATTATCCTCGTCAGAGAATTTTGGACATTTTGGACTAGTGCCTTTTTATTTGGCATTGAAATACATGTCACCAAAGAGTAAGCCAGTCTTTGGCACTTTCTGGATTTTGTAAGCCTTACAGCTGCTCTGTAGAAACTCAGCTCTCTAGAGAAGGATAGCGTTAGCATTTGCATGTCATTCCTCTCTCCATCCTATCTCCAACCAGAGATAGGAAATGCAGATTCCATCCAGTATTTAAACCACTAGAGAGATTTTTTTTCCCCTACTGAGTTAAAACAGTTTGAGCTTTCCATTACAGTGTCTGAAAAATGTGACAGATCATGAATTCATGTCTTAGGTCAAGTGGCAGTCTAATGGCTAGTGAGGCAATCAGTATAGCAGTAGAGCTGTCACTTCTCACTTTACCTTTAGGAATAGGGACCCGGGGCCATTTTTCACTGTAAATTTGTTTTTTGTAAAAGAGAAGCTTTGTGATAAATATTAAAGAAAAAGTAATGTATGGAATCATCTTGTTCATTATTTAAAAAGTTGATGTATAGTTGAATTTATGCCAGAAAGGTTGTCTGGCTTAATATCCAGTGGTTTTTCTCCCTCTTGATTGAAATGTGCTGAGAACCCTAAAAGCAGCCTGTTTGGGTCTGATGTGTTTGTCTTGGCATTTTCATACAGCACCAAATGAGTTTGTCTTGCTGCATGTCTAGCTGTTTTGATTTTCTGTTGCTGTATAGCAGCCACCTTAAAACTTAGTAATTTTCAAAACAATGGCTTGATCAGGGTCTGGTGCAGCTTGTCTCTTCTCAGAGTCAGAGTCATCTAGGGCTGCTTGGTTTATGGTTGGAGTGTCCACTTCTCAAATTACTCACTCACATGGCTGGCCCATGAGTACTGGCTTTTGGCTGGGAACCAACAGCCTCAGTTTCCCTTTCTAGGCTGCTTGGGCTCCTTCATGAGATGGTGGTTGCTTTTTTAAGAGTGAGCATCCCAAGAGAACAAAGTAAATGACTGGCACTTTCATGATTTATCCTTAGCATCATTTAATGCCACTTTTACCATGCTGTCTTGGCCGAGTCAATCACAGAGGCACACTGTGATTCAAAAGAAGACATGGATTCCCCGTGTAGATGGAGTGGCTGCATTCTAGAAGAACACACAGGACAGGAGATATTCTTGTGGTCAGCTTTGGAAAACAATTTACCTCACTAGCTGAATCCTGTCCCTCTTTAGCAGATACCCTAAAAGGCTGAATAGCTATAGGCCTCTTGGTTTTTAAAGAGTCCTCACATTCAGGTGTCTTTGAATGAATTATGTAGTACATGCTACCTGACTATGACATTTGTCTTCAAGATAGGTTGTCCCTACCTCCATCTGCACTAAATCTTAGCTATCAGAATTTCTCCTTTGTCCAAGCATTAATTGCACAGTGAATAAGCTAATACCAAGACCTCGGGAATCAGAAGTACTAGAATAACAGGAGACAAATGGTAGTTTTGATTTGTGAATATGTAAGCATGGTAAAGAGAATTGCCAAATATAAGCTAGCACAGTCATTTATTCACTGTCGAACACGTGAACACTGTGTGGTGTTCATGGCACCTTCTGGGTGAGCATTTCTCTACAAGGAAGAACTTGATTTCAACCACGCATGAGGTGCTACTGTGAAACATTTATTTCCTGAATAGCTTTCAGGTCAAAGTTAAATCATTAAATTGTCCAAAGAAATGCAGACATAACCAAGTGAGTGTTTTATTAGAATTCCTTTTTTATCCTGAGTAATTACTGCTAAACATAGCTTAAGTTTTGGGTCAGAGTTAAAAGAAATGCCTGTTTTAAAAATGCATTAGATAAACCTGCACTGGAATTTTTAGTGTTAAAGGGGAGATTGGGTGAAAGCTACTTTTATTAGCTTTCTTTAAAAAAGATATTTGCAGGTTTAATGGCAGCAGAGAAGGGGGTAGGGAGTATAAATCTTGTTATATGATGTTCACTAAGTTTCAGTCTATTTTACAGGTTGTTTTGCAAAAACACTTGTAGAGCATGTCGGTATGAAGAGCCTAAAGTCTTGGGCTAGCATAAATCGAGGTGCCATTATTCTTTCCAGGTATGTATAATGTGTGCCTTTCTCGGAGCAGGGCCTGGTAATGCAGAAGACATACTTCCTTCACATTTCTCAGTTCTAATATTTGTCCTCAGTAGTCTAGTATTACTCCCAGTCACTCATGGTCTAGACAAGCATGCCAAATATTAGAAAGCAAATGTCACTCTTTCAGTCAGTTCCTAGGTTTTTTTTTTAAAGACAGGGTCTTGCTCTGTCACCCAGGCTGGAGTGCAATGGCATGATCTCAGCTTCCTTCAGCTTCAACCTCCTGGGCTCAAGTAATCCTCCCACCTCAGCCTCTGTAGCTGAGACTACAGGCACATGCCATCACACCCAGCTAATTTTTTTTTTATTTTTTGTAGAGATGGAGTCTCCTATGTTGCCCAGGCTGATCTCAGACTTCTAGGCTCAAGCAGTTCTCTCATGTTGACCTCCCAAAGTGCAGGGATTATAGGCATGAGCCATTGCACCTGGCCTTTAGGATTTTTTTAACTACCATCTTTTTGACAAATTATAACATTCACAAGGTATCAGGGGGCTTCACCCCATTATGGTTTTGACCAAAACATAATTGTACTTTTTAATGACGATGTTGTTTTTTAAATCATGCCTAATTCTACGTGTAATTTCCTTCATTATTGTGAAAAGATTCTAAAGGGATCGGAAGAGCATTTGCTGCTGAAGTCTGTATGCTAATTGTTGATTTCTGACTTAAAGTGTGAAAAAAACAGTGATGAACTGTGGCCTCTTTTGTACTATTCTCTGGACTTAGTTGAGTTTATAATCAATCCACCAGTCATTGAAATTTCCATACATGCTATGTGCAGATGAAAACCTTCTGTTAAGAGCATTCATTTGAAAAAAGATTTGTGTGTTGCTTTGAAACAATTACTGTTGAATTTTCCCTTGCTATGTTACTAAGGTTTGGGAAAACAGATACCAACCCTAGTCTGAATTTCTGGAGATATTTCACTTGCAACATGCTATGTAAATCTATATTGTTTGTAAATGTTATTTTAAATGTTTCTTCAACATATATGTGATCTGATACACATATGCTCACAAATACACACAGGAACAGTCATATATTCAGGTATGTCAGTGTCTCCAAATATAAGTGTTACAGATCATTTTGTTCATTTCTGCTTAAAATTAGTTAATTTTCCAGTTGATGTTAAACAGTCAGAATTCATTAACTGATACATGAACTTTTTTGTTATGAATGTTTATTTACTAGGTATTTGGAGTGTTAATACCTACTGACATATTCTTTCATTACACTCAATTAACTGGAAATTTCAGCAATGCCATGAAATTAATTTATAAAGGTTGCTCATCAATCAGAACTCCCATTAGGTGGATTTCAAACACAGGAAGGACATCATAGGTTTATTATGCAGCCCTATTTAGAATTGGAACAGGAGCACAGGAGATATTTGAAGTTCTAAATGGAAGTTGAGCTATATATAACAAGAATTAATTCAAAAAATTGTTTTTGTAAATTTTGGGTGAAAAGAAAATCAACCTTGTATGTTGGCTGAAAAATAACTTGGAGAAGCAGAATTGTAACATTTGAGAGCATTGATTCTTGACAGACTGCCTCAGTCCCGGCAAAGTGTCTAGCCTTGGGAAAATTATTCAGCTTTTCTAGGTTGTAAAATGAGATTAATAATAACCCTATGGTTGTTATGAAAACTAGATTGGATGATGCGTATAAAATGCCTAGCGTTACGTCTGATACGTGGCATGTCCTCAGTAATAACTGACTGTGATGTGTTATATAACTGTGTTTAGCCAGGATGTATGAAATAACACCTAGTAAGTCACAAATTCATTACAAGGGAACTTTGCTTTTTTTTTTATTTTTTTTTTGAGACAGAGTTTGGCGCTTGTTTCCCAGGCTGGAGTGCAATGGTGCGATCTTGGCTCGCCGCAACCTCTGCCTCCTGGGTTCAAGCAATTCTCCTGCCTCAGCCTCCTGAGTAGCTGGGACTACAGGCGTGCGCCACCATGCCCAGCTAATTTTTGTATCTTTAGTAGAGACAGGGTTTCACCATGTTGACCAGGATGGTCTCGATCTCTTGACCTTCTGATCCACCGGCCTTGACCTCCCAAAGTGCTGGGATTATAGGCGTGAACCACCACACCCGGCTACAAGGGAACTTTACCTTTTAGCTTTTTGAGCATCGCAGGTGGGAAGCTGAATGTGTTGCTTGTTTCCCACAAGCAGTAGAATGCTGCTTGGTGCTGATAATTTATCCTCCTCTTTATTGACATAATGGAAGTTATTGGGACCGGGGACTTTGGAAAATACCTAGTACCTCATTTCTAGAATGTGTTTCAGAGGTCCACTTTTACATATGGTCCCAAAAAAGAAGAAAACATTCAGGCCTTGTGCTCTGCAGTCAGAGCTGTAGGTCCTGTTCACAGAGAAGTGGGCCTGCTGTTACCAACCTCTGGGACTCCCTTCACTTGTAATAGGGTACTTGGGCAGAGTTTCAGAATGCAGAGGCCAGAGTTATTTTGATGAATGGCTAACATTTAGTGAGTGCTTACTAAGTGTCAGGCTCTGACTGGGTGCTTTACAGGGTCATTTGGGCCTAAGAAAACGACTCTATGAGGTGAAAGCGGACTCTGTTGTGAACCCTGTTCTACAGTTCAGGAAACTGAGTCTCGAGAGAATTTAAAAGCATGCTCTTGGTTGTACTGTTACTTAGTGGCAGAGGCAGGTTTCACACCCAGGCAGTGAAGCTCTTTGCCCCTTCACTAAACGTTAGTGCTGTAGAGTTCAGCGCAAAGGTCTGCTAACTCTGACTTCTCTGCGCCTCTGTTTACACATGTTCATTCACCCACATGGTGGGGATTTTTTGGCTCTCTGCTCCATACATGTAGCACCGTGAAATAAATAAAGTCCCTGCTGTTGAGCTTACAATCTTGAGATGGAGAAGGGAAGACAGAATACATGTAGAATCATTTTAAGACAGGCTGTAGGTAAGTCCTAGGATAAAGTGAAGGTGGGACTAACTGTATGGAATGGAGTTGGGGTCCTACAAATGTCTTTGGTTGCATGACTCCACCAGCAAGATTCTAAAACATTTTTTTCTGTGGTTTTATAATATAGACTGCTGGTCCTCATCATTCATCCTTTGAGTGAAAAATCATGTGTATATAGTTAAAAGACGTGTGTTACAGTTAACGAACTCTTATGCTATGGGGTACAGGTAGTATTGGAGATAACGTAGGAGTTCTTATGAAATTTAATTTTTTCCTTCTCTTCAGCCTCCTCCAGAGTTGCGACCCAGAAGTTGCAAACAAAGTCAAAGCTGCACTGAAAAGCTTGATTCCTGCATTAGAAAAAACCAAAAGCACCAGCAAAGGAGTAGAAGCTCTGCTTGAAAAACTGACTACATAGGTGGAAAGAGTTAAGAGCAAGATGGACTCATTTGTGCTGTTCTCTGTTCTGTTTGCCAATGCAGAAAAGAAGGGCTAGGGTGCACCATACTGGTAATTGGGGTGCTCTGTATATGTGTTTCTTTGTTTATGAATCTATTTATATAAATTGTTTTAAAAAATGGTCTTGTAAAAAATCTCAGCTGTCTCCTCTGTTACACTGCATAGTAAGCGTATCACTATGTGAGGCAATAATGCGGAAGATTTAACACTCATATATGGTGGGACCAACCAAATATAAAAAGTATAGTTCAATGAGTTGACTTTAGGGAAGAAGACATCTTTAGTGAGCGTAGTCTGAGAAGGCTTTCTGGAGAAGGTGGGACTTGAGACGACTTTCATGAGGAAGGCAGGATGTGGAAAAGAAGAGCAAGAAGGAGTCGTGGGCACAGTAAAGTGGAAGTTAACGGGTACTGGGGTGGGGATGGGGGACCACAGCTGCCTTCCTAGCTGTTTTATGGATTAGGTTCCCTTCTAGATGTTGTTTGAAAGCCACTCAGATAAGTTAAGCTCCTAGGAGGAAATGAATTGTGGGATCACAGTGGATTGCAGTGTTAAAATCAGGGTCATGGGGAAATTCTCCCTGTCTCTGATTTTGGACCTTCCAAGTAAATAGCTCCTTGCGGTTAGACTTTCTCCCTTGAGATTGTCCCTGAAATGTCAAATCCTATAGAGTTTAAATAAGCAGGAAGAAGATGGAAACTTTGATGGTGCAGAAGTGTAACTGCAGGTAGGATGTTTGTATTTTAAAACTGCAGTTGTCTGAGCAACAAAGGTTAGAAGGATTGTTGGCTCAGTCAAGCTCATGTAGTCATGCCTGTGAATATCTGGCTGCTTTCTCTAAGTAGTTTAATGTAACGGGATACTCATTCAAATCTGTCACTACAGTTACACCTGCTGGGGAATTGGCTGTGCCTTTGCTGCCCGTACTGTGGGGTCCCAGGACTACTCCAGCCTACCAACTACCAAGACCCCTCCTGCCACAATGTATCAAATCCTTCCCAAAGAGTAAAAGCACTGATGCCTGTAACTTTCGACATGGATTCTCCTATCACCCAAATAGGGTGTAGGTGGACAGCTGGAGGAACTGGGATGGGATGAGGAGGTGAATGAGGAAAAGTCAACAGTAGAACTTGCATTTGTTTGATTAATACATTGTGATTTGTGTTCTCCGTTTGACTAATAGGTTGTGATTTGTGTTCTCTGTATAAAGGAGCCATTCAGAGAAAGGAGGAAAGAACTTATGCTCTTTGTTTCATCCTTGAAACTAAAGTACAATAATGTGTACATAATTTGGGGAGTACTTTTATAAAGCTTATAGCAGAAGCAGCAGTCCTTCCTCTGCCCCATTCCTCCGCACCCCTGCCTTGCCCTCTCCAGACTACGTCTAATTACGCTTTGCTCTACTAAATGTCTAAATACAGTGTGTGTAATTTTTTTTAATCTATCAGTTGCAGGTATTTTCTTTTGACTTCCTATTACAGGAAATGCAGATTAAGAACTTTACCATCACTGTTCCCCACTCCTCTTCCCTCCCCCTTCCCAATAGAATTGCATCATATTTGATGAAATCAGTGTTCCGGGTTTACCTTATTATACCTACATAAATGTTGTTAAATATTGATTCAAGCAGTGAGCAGCCATTACATTGCTAATTTTTCTGGAATTAGTCATTGCCTCATTTATTTTCATTTGCTTAGTTTCTACATCTCTATTGATTTTTCCTAAACTTTTCATCAGAATTGCTTAAATTCTTCTTTTGAAGGCACCCTTAGCAATTACTCAACAGCATTTTCCTCTTTTTTTAGCCCACCAAGGCTCCTATGTTATTCTGGTGTCTACTCCTTTCCAGGTGGCTTAACTATCCTAACTGTTATAATTTAGTATTTCTCGAGTGGGTTGTGAATGTGTTGAGATTTTTGACAATTTCATCCATTACTCCACCCAGCTGTACACCTGTTTCCCTTGTGTGTTGTATGCAGAAGAGCACTGGTATGAACCAGTCCGGAGGGCCTATTTCTTAAATCAGTGGTGGATTTAGGAAAGAGCCTGGCCAGTGAAAATTGGAAGACAGATGGTATTCCTGGGAGAGGTTTCTTAGGTCTCTTGGGTTGTAGAAAGTCCCCTTCCTTCCCCTCAGCTTTGGTGTATGCAGGACTCAGCCCAACCTGTAAGCTAGGAGCCTGACAGGAAATAGCAAATATACCAAGGACGGCTGAGCAAGGGTTTGCGAAAAGGGAACATTGATGATGTTAAGCTGCTTAACCAGCTAACTCCTGGAGCTGCGCTAGCCCTGGACTTCTGATTATGTGAGAATAAACCCGTTTTCCATTTTAAGTCAGTTTTGAGTTGGATCTTTTGAAATTTGCAGCCAAAAGTATGCTAACCTGACTGTCTCTAAATACCAATTTCCACTCTATTCAACATGTCAAGTTGGTGAGCATTTCCACCTTTTCCTGGAGACACTGTCCTGGCTTTCAGGATGTCCTGAAGAACTGTAACTGCACTCCTCCACCATCGTCATCCTGAGCCTTCCCTTCATTTCTCTCCTGTGAAAAGCCCATGTCTCAGATCCCATGCATCTCTCTCTTGCTTAACACCCTTTTCTCAGTGGGGCACCACCTCTAATAGCTTCCTGAGAAAATGTATTCTAAGGACCTTGCAAATCTGAGTGTCTTTATTCTACTCTCACACCCAGATATCTAGTTTAGCTGGATATAGGATTCTAGTTTAAAACGAATTTTGCCTCTGAATTTGAAGATGCTGGTCAATATTGTCTTTAGCCTGCAAAGTTGTAGTAGAAGTTTAATGTCCAGTGCCATCCTTATTCTCTCAATCTGCAAGTTTACGGCGCTTTTTTTTTTTGAGTCTCCAGCTTTCTCGTATTTCAGGATTGTGTGCATTGGAATGTGTTATGTATGTTTTCCTTTTATTTTTTATGCTAGGCACTTGGTGAACCATTTTAGTCAGAAGAGCCAAAGCCTGACTTCCTGGAAGATGTTTTTCCTTTTTTTTTTTTTTTTTTTTGAGACGGAGTCTTACTCTGTCCCCAGGCTGGAGTGCAGTGGCGCGATCGGCTCACTGCAATCTCCACCTGGGTTCAAGCGATTCTTCCGCCTCAGCCTCCCGAGTAGCTGGGACCACAGGCGCATGCCACCACACCCAGCTAATTTTTGTATTTTTAGTAGAGACGGGGTTTCACCATGGCCAGGATGGTCTCAATCTCTTGACCTCGTGATCCGCCCACCTCGGCCTCCCAAAGTGCTAGGATTACAGGCGTGAGCCACCGCGCTCGGCCTCTGATTTTTTTAAATGGACCCCCAACCCCCTGTTTTCTCTATTATTTCTCTTTGGAGCTATTATTAAGAGTTGAAATGATTTGAGCCTCTAATCTTTCTTTTCCCTATTTTTAATATTTTTGGTTTTTTGCTTTGCTTTCTGAGTGAGATGTTTTCTCTACCTTCTCTGCCAGCCTTTTGTGTTTTGGGTTTGTTTGTTTGTTTGTTTTTGAGACAGGGTCTTGCTCTGTCGCCTGGGCGGGAGTGTAGCTGTGCAACTTGAACTCACTGCAACCTTTGCCTCCTTGGCTCAAGCGATCCTACCACCTCAGCCTCCCAAGTGTCAGGAACTACAGGCATGCACCACCATGCCTGGCTAATTTTTGCATTTTTTTTTGTGAGACAGGGTTTCACCATGTTGCCAAGGCTAGTCCTGAATGCATGAACTACCATGGCCTGCCACTCCCAGCCTTTTATTAAAGTGTCCTTTTCTTTCTTCTATGCATTGTCTCTTATGTCTCCTAGGGATATTGTGTGTTCTGGTTGACTGGTGGATTGCTTTGTTTTACTTCGCTTGCCTTCTTTTCTGTCATGTGCTCTTTCTGTTTGCTTTGGTCTCTGTTTGAGACTTTCCTGGAGAGGTCTTTAGCTCTCTTATATACTTAAGACACTTAACACCTTACAATGATGAGAAAGAGGGCATTATTTTCTTGTTCTTGCATGTTGACTTTACCAGTGATTAGGTGTGGATCCTGCTGTTTCACTGGGGCCCTCCAGATGTCAGTACCTGTAGGCCTTTCCTGTGGTCCATTCAGTGCCTCTGAGAGAAATCCACCTGCAGCCAGCATTCAGTTGCTCAGTAGTCAGCGTGCAGATTTTCATTTACCTACCTGCTTTCAGCACAGTGCCTCTCCCTTATGCGCTCATATCTGGGGCCCCTAGTCTTGAGAAAATGAGCCAACATAAGTCCACAAAACACATCCTCAGCCTGTGGCCAGGGTTGGGAGTGGTAGTCAAGCAGTTTGGGCCAATCCCCCTGTCTTACATTCCAAGGCTCACCCCAGCCTTCTCCAGTACCTAGCACCTCTGGCTGCTGGGATTTTCTGGTCTATCACGGTGAGAACTGCTTGCTTCTCTCCATGCGTGAGGGGTTCCGCTTTCGCAGCTCTGCCTTCGTTACTGCTTCCTGTTCTTCCACATACTTGCTGCCATCACCCACTGTCTACTTTGTTTCTGTGAGTTTGTACAGTTTTATTTTTCTAGTCTTACTCGTTCTGGAAGGAACAGAGATAAACTCAACAATACACCATTTTTAAGCAGAAATCCACAAATGGCTTTAAACAGACAAAACAACCTACCTGGCTTCATGGTGATCATCTTTTCCATGAATGAACTTAGTGGATCTGAGAAAGTTTTTTGCTTGAAAAGACAGCTTGTTTTAGTTTTCAGTTTGCATCAAACTCTGCTTTTCCTAGGAATCAGCTGTTGTTAGAAGGAAGGAGAACCCCATTTTCCACTAACGTCTGGTGTAATAAGTGTTTGCAAAACAGAATAAAGGCCTCAGAGGAAATGGCTTCCTACTTTACCAAACTCAAAGGATTCACTCTTGAAAATATGAGATGGCATTTCTCTTTCTATTTCAGTGTAATTTTGAAAAAGTTGCATCTTAATTTTAGCAGATTAGTCACTTTTAAGTCTGGCAAATTTTTGGATGTATGTATTTAGAATAACGGTTAAGAGAACACAAGATCTCAAAGCAGCAGCTGTTAGCATGGAGCCCATAATCAAACTATTTCTAAGCCAAAATTAATGACCTCAACAAACATAAAAATTTGAGACTTGAACTCTTGT